TTTGGCAGTTTTAAAAGGGATGCTTCTGCCCATTCTTCAACCAGTAGTTCTGGCGTAGAATAGGCCACCACTTCCTTTCCCGCGGGTGTCAGAAGAGGCGACTAAAGGAGCTTAATGGTCAATAGATAGGCAGCAGTGTCTTTCTTAAATCACAAAATCACCAAAATAAGACCAAAGCCTAATTGCGGTTGCCAACACGTCTGCCAAGCGTGGCAACTACGGGTAAAATGGCAGAAATTTGGGTAGGACAGAGGCATCTAGCAGACGAATTTAGTACCTAAGAACAAGGAATTACATAGAAGGTATAAAATAAAAACTGTAAATCACATGGTTGCCTCCTTTCTTCTTATGCAAATATTATAAGTAAAAAGAGGATGAAAGATACATTATCAGTTTCTATTTTTCTCAATTCATAGCAGGCTAGTGTATAGAAAATGTTTGATATGTCAATTATTTGTCAATAACAAATTTTGCATTACTAGATTATATATTCGACACAGTTTATGTAGAAAGTATGCAAGCAGGCTGTGTCTCAATTTGGTGGGGTTATACGGCCAATAAAACCAAGTGACATATTTCGATGAATTTGACTTCTACGGACTAGTTAAAAGGCAGATGCGTTTTTATTAGTGTCCGACCGAATTTTCAGTTTCGGTTTCGGCTAGTTTCGGCCAGAAATTCTACTTTCGGCCTTAGTTTCTATGTATCTAGTATGTTTTTATATATAAATATATATGACATATTTGTTACACACTTTAATTTGTGTTTATTATAACCCTTTAAGTATCTGTGTGTTTGTGTAAATAATTGTGTAAAAAATACACTAGATTTCCGTATAGAAGAGAAATTTTAAATGTGTTCCAATAAGTTTCGGTTTCGGCTGTAAAACCTGTTTCGGTCGGACACTAGTCTTTATGTTTATCCCTCTCTAACGCATTGACAATGTCATAAATATAACGAGCAACACACCAACTATGCATTCCATCTATTCTATTCCAAAATCTTTGTTTATTTATTTATTTATTTAAGGCAAACAAACAGATAAAATAATACATAATTATATACTTAAATAGTAATTTGGTAGCCACTAGAATTTGCACAAAATAAAATACAAGTAAACGAAACACAAAATAATACTAAAGTAAACAAAATTAAACAAATATAAACAAAATTAAACAAATATAAACAAAATTAAACAAATATAAACAAAATTAAACAAACAAATACTATTGAAAACTACAGCAACATTGTCAATATCTCTCTGGTCTGTCTAAGTAATAAGTGTGTCATCGACAAGTAATTTGGGAATTGCCAAATATAGTGTATGTATCACATGTAAATGATGCGAGTTCTATATATAAAGAGATGAGATCATTGATTCATAATCAATGTGGGTGTCGGATCTTCTAGTAGGAATGTCATTATCAATGACTTCTGCTTTGTATATTATGTGTAGCTAGTTGTTTACTGCGTCTGCGCCCGCGTAACTGTTATCTCCTGTGGGCCTACCATGAAATGTTTTCCGAAATTTCGGAGCCAAAACACAAATTTGATGTTAAAATTACATAATACATGCCGTTTGGAAATATTAAAAATTTTAAAATATTGTTTCTTTGGACTTCTATGATAGAATGTATGACGAACGAAATGTTAATCTCCTTTTATTGGTCCGATTTTGGTATAAACAAAAACACCAAATTGAGTCCGAAATTTCGAAATTTCGTTTCATGGTATGACCATGACATGGTCTCGAGGGAAATTCGGGGAATCTTTGGGTTTACAATTTATAACTCCTAAAGTTTAGGCCGTGCATTAATAAATTAGTTATTAATTAGACTGGTTTAGTCAGTCAATTAAAAAAAAAATCTTTTTATAAATTATGAATGGAAATATGATAGCAAAAAATATATTATATATATTTCATTGTTTCTGCCTACCCTAATGGGAGACAGGCGTGACAGATATGTATGTATGTATGTATGTATGTAAAATATATTACTAGACACCAGAGGGCACTAAAGTCGTCCATATGAAATGAAATGATTATTTATTTAAATTTAAAAAGACACCGTTTGTCGTATCACCTCACTTTCAGGGCACTTCTCTTGATAATAAGTCGAGTCTGGGGATTCTTGGCGTCGATATATCTAGCGACGTCCAGTTTTGCGGTCATCTGGAGGAAAAAGCTAAGATAGCTTCCAAAAAGTTGGGGGTGCTCAATAGGGTGAGACGGTATTTCACGCCAGAAAACCGCCTGAAACTGTATAAAGCTCAAGTGAGGCCACACATGGAATACTGTTCTCACCTGTGGGCAGGAGCGCCACAGTACCAACTCCTTCCGTTAGACCGCATTCAAAGTCGGGCAGCTCGAATTGTTGACGATCGGCGTCTTACTGTCCGGCTCGACCCACTGAAACTGCGTAGAAATGTTGCATCTCTGTGCATCTTCTACCGAATTTATCATGGGGAGTGCTCTGAAGAATTGTTCGGATTGATACCTGCTGCAGGTTTTCACCATCGTACAACCCGCCATAAACTAAAATTTCATCCCAACCATCTGGACGAGTGGCGGTCCTCCACCGTGCGTTTTTCAAGGCACTTTCTCCCACGCACAACCACTCTTTGGAATCAACTTCCAGCAGCAGTATTTCCGAACCGATACGACAACATAACCTTCAAGAAAAGAGCATATTCCTTTTTAAAAGGCCGGCAGCACACCTGCAATGCCGTAGGTGTTGTGGGTGACCATGGGCGGCGGTAGTCACTTACCATCAGGTGAGCCGCATGCTCGTTTGCCCCCTGTGTTGTAAAAAAAAAAAAAATTTATTTGCCAAAACATTTTTACACAAATATCTCTGTTTTATTCGTGTCTCTGCCACCAAGCAGCTGTGATCGCAGACTGTTCGGCTGAAGGATAAGATATAGCAGTGAAATTAGATAGTATGCCAAACACCATAGTCCACAGGTATGGTTGTAGGATGGGCGTGACAATATTTTCTATAAGGTTCATCAAGCTGTTTGTGTGTATAGGCGAAAATTGCCACTTTCCATCAGGCGGACCATAAGCTTGGTATTTCAAATTACTTAAAAATTACCTTATTGTTTATTTGTCTTATTTACAAGAGCTCGTGTGTTCGATTTTCTCTCCGGCAATGGAAAACATCGTTAACAAATTCACTAGACAGCTGTAACGTAACAACTGTCGTGTTTGATTCTAATCATCATTATTTCAGCGGTTAACTGTCCATTGCTGAACATAGGCCTCTCCCTATTGAGGAGTTTTGCCAGCAGTTGCCGTGCTTGGTAGGCGAGTTGGTAACCGCAGTTTTTTTTTTTAATGGGTGTAAATGGTATGGTAACCCCGCCTGCGCTAACGGGATACGATGGCGGAGCACCAGTGAAGGGTGATAGATGAGAATGAAAACAGGCCAGTTAGCCCATCATGACGAATCCATCTGGAATTAATCATGATAGTTTTCAGGGAGAACCGCGAGGAGGTCGACCTGGTTGGGTATATTGCTAGCAATAGGATTCTCAGTCTCCATTACTAACAATCCCTTCCCCCGGTAACCGCAGTTAGGCTTTAGGTTGTAAGAGGGTGGCGTCTGCCCATTATTCGACCATCAAGTTCTATTAGTGGCCTCTTACGACACCGTAAACGGAGTTTGATTTTAATATGCTCGGAGAAAGGTCTCTTTTCTGTCGCCTTTGAACATAAGACATGTGGAGTATTACGTTTAAAGGCGACAGTCCATAAATTTGTTTATTGTGAATCTTGCATTAGTTCTTCTCAACTATTTGGAGAGGATGGATGAAAGAAGAATTACGAAAGAGGTTTATCGAGCACCAATGAATGGAGATGTCGGTAGGGGCCGTCCTAGACGGACGTACGAGGTCTGTCCGGAAAGTTCGTATAAAAGTGTTCTGGAATGCGAGAAAGAGGAGTGGGGAGGCCAGGTAAGCGCAGGACCCCTTCCTTATGTCCCTAACAATGCTTCAGTTCTGGTCTGACCGCCGTGCGGTGCGAACTGGCTTGTCACGCCATCTGTGAAGTTACCTCTTAACGAAACCCCGTCGGCATGGAGCCCGCTTCCGTTGAAGAGCAGCGCGTCGTAATCAAGTTTCTCTCGAAACTCGGCAAGAATGGCCGTGAAATTTTTGCCGATCTAATTCGATAAGACATCCGGGGAACCACGAACAAAAAAATCAAGAAAATCCCGCTCAAATGTCAAGACAATGTTGATTGTTTTTTTCGATGTTCGGGGGATTGTCCATCAAGAATTCGTCCCTCCAGGCCAGACAGTTGATGGAAAATTCTACGTCGATGTGCTCAGACGCCTCAAAGCTCGTGTGGCACGAGTTCGTCCAGAATTGGCGCGAGAGGGGCGTTGGATTCTTCACCACGACAATGCCCCTGCCCACACCTCTCTTGTTGTCCGTGAGTTTTTGAGTAAAAATTCCATTACGGTGACCGAACACCCCCCCTATTCGCCGGATTTGGCCCCGTGTGACTTCTTCTTGTTCCCAAAAACCAAATTGGTACTTCGGGGGCGGCATTTGGGGGACATAAATGAGATAAAAAAAGCTACGACGGGGCAGCTGAGAAACCTACAACCAGAGGACTTTCAAGGAGCCTTCTCACAGTGGAAACGGCGTTGGCACAAGTGCATTATGTCACAGGGGGAGTACTTTGAAGGGGATAAAATTGATTTACCTGAATAATTGTAAAATAAAATTTTTAAAAAACTTTTATACGTACTTTCCGGACAAACCTCGTATGTCGACCAAATAGGCGACGTGCTGAAGGCAGGCCAAATTAAAAGTACCCGTAACCGGCGAGCGTGTATGAAAATATTGATGAATGTGAAGGAACCGAAAGAGGCTTGTTCGAATCGAGGCATTTGGCGTTCTATTGTTTCTACTTATCCTAATGGGAGATAGTCGTGACAGATATGTATGTGTGTATTTGTTTTACATTATCATTTTTACTTCCGTTACAGGAGCGGTAGCAGCATGTCGTAGATAATCGGCGCACGCGCAATGTGAGTGGTATTTCCCTATACATTCCAGTTTTGCTATTTGTGTAGCGGGGGTTGACGTGTTGTATTGTTAATATTTTTATAATGTTTTTAATTAAATTAATAATAAAATATATATATTAGTGTATGGACAAACAATCAGGACAATTGTTAAGCCCCTCTTAATAAGCGTATTCTAGTGTTGTTGACCCTGAACTCATCATGGGAAAAAGTTTGTTTTTAATAGTTATTTATTAATTATTTGTAAAGCATTTGTGTTATAAGGATAATCGTATTGCATTGTTTTAATATCTTTAACCGACTTCAAAAAGGAATGTGTGAGAACACATTCGACTGTATTTTGTTTGTGTGTTATTTTGAACCAGTGCTGAATCGATTTTGATGATTCTTTTTTTTATTAATTATGTATAGATACAATTATATGGCACGCCCTTTTAAAATATAAAGTATTAAAAATATGTGTGTGTGAGGCCGGCAGCATGTTTGCAAATTGCTCCAGTGTTGCTAGTCCTCATTGCCGGGTGTAGTTATTTACCATTAGGGAAACCGCATGCTCGTTTACCACTCGGTGTCATAAAAAAAAAATGTAACTTTGTATTCCAGTGAAGAAAAAAATGGCGTCCGTGTGGAAGCGGCTACAGCGCGTTAACAAACGCGCGGCTAAATTTCAATACACGGCCTCGTACCATCGGGTCGACTTGGATACATCGCCTAAATGGTATGTCTAGCTAGCGGGTGACCCTGTATATACCATCTGCATGGGTACAACTGTCCCACTGTTTTTGCCGTCAAGGTAAAACACAGAATATGGAGGTGTAAAACCATAGTTCTCAGAAAAGCAAAGGTTGACTGGGAGAGAATGCTAAATAGAATTAAGTACGTTTTTGTACCAAAATTTTGTTTTTGTAATGTGGTCAAGTAAATAATCCTTACTAATATTATTAATGTGAAAGTGTGTTTGTTTGTTTGTTGTCTTATAGCGTCGTAATAGGTTAACCGATCGCTATGAAATTTGGTGTACATATACTACATGAAATAGAGAAGGAGATAGGCTTTTTATCCCAGTTAGTAAATATATTTACCAGAGGGAGACTTTGTACAAAAGTCGATTGCTTGGGTATCTCTGTCCCATTCGTGTTTCTACCGTGATGCAGTCGTGTTTGCATGGCTGTGTTTCGGTTTGAAGGGTGGGATATGACGTGAATTAACATGGTATAGAGGAATATCACCTAAGTCCTCAGGAATGGCAGCGGATGGGGGGTATCATGGGCGAAACAGTATACTCTGTTATGTCCATGGTACTGCTCGTGTCTATAGGCGACGGTTACCACTGTCCATCAGGTGGGCCGTCAGCTTGTTTGCCATTCTAAGTTGTATAAGAAAAAAAAGCATAAAATATATATGTTCAATTTGCAGGAAGCCCAACAAGCTAAGCGTGGTGTGGACCCGCCGGTCGCGGCGCGTCATCACCGAGCCCAAGGAATGGGAGCCCACGCTGAAAGATCCCCTCAAGTGAGTCTCCATATGACCTTTTATCTCTTCTCTTTTTTCTACGCAAGTAAAAAAAAAGGTAACCAACTTCCAAGCGTTGAGGGCGTTCAGTTGGGTTGTTTCGTGATTCATTTTCGTGATTATAAAATTCTTGTAAATTTTTAAGGATTCTTTTAACAATATTTTGAATGACAAATTTTTATTTTTCAATTTATGCTGTGATCAGTATCAGTATGCTTTTTTTACAGGATAAAATATATGAAAAAAAAAGCGAAGGGTCGGGGGTCGCTAAATATTTTTTCTTACTAGGGGGTCATGGAAAAGGTTGATGAAAAACACTAGATTACATGTGGTAGGGAAAACATAAGCATGTATACAGTAATTATTGAAACTTCTCTGTGCCCATGATGTACATTTAAGTATGTTATTACATATTAAATATAAATATAAGTAAATTTAAATACACATATTGCTCACAACTTAGGTTACATGTTTATTTTTATTATTTACTTAATTTTCTCGCACTGTATAATTATGTTAAAGTGAATGCTGTGAATACCTATAACAGGCGTGTGCATTAATATTGTATTATATTTAATGTTTGTTATACCTATATGTTGTAATGCAATATGCTGTTGGTGTTCCTTAAATAAATAAATAAATAAAAGTCTGGTCACATATGTATATATGTTCATATTGTTTTTTTATACGGTTTTTGTTTCTATTCAAATGGTTGTCTCGTCTTGTATCTACACGTTTTATATACATATATTGTTGTTCTAAAAATATTATTTTTGACTGTAACCCTCTACAGTTATGTCCATGGTACTGTTCATGTCTATCATCAGGTGGGCTGTTAGCTTGTTTGCTATTCAAATTTACATAAAAAAACAATAGAAATTATTGTATCCTTTTATCGATCACAAAAATAATAATAAAAACCGGTTCGTTACTGTCGATGTTACCGCGTTTTTTTTCGGAAGTCTCCTAAAAAAATTATTCATACAAGAAATTGCTACTTTTTTAAAGTTGGCTAAACTGATCACTATGCTTATGTGTTTCCCAGAGGGTCCGTGATCTACACAATGCCGGAGAACCACACGGTTGCGGTGACCCTGTTCAAGGACTCTCGCACCAACGAGCTGGAGGATAAGGACTGGACCTTTGTATTGGAAGATGTAAGTGTTTTTTTTCAATGGGTGATAATGGTATAGAAACCCCGTCTGCGCTATCGGTATACACTGGCGGGCACCAGTGATAGATGACTGATGAGGATGAAAGCAGGTCAGTTAGCTCATCCTGATGAATTCAACTAGAATTAGCCACGATGGTTTCCTGGGGGTACCACGTGAAGGTCGACCTGACGGGTATATTGCTTAGTAATGGGGCAATTTGACCGCATTACTAACAAGCCCTTTCCCTCCAGATGTAAGTGTAAAAAAAAAAGGATTTAAGTATGTCTATTAGTTGTCTAGTACCCATATTAAATGTTCTGCTTAGTTTAAAACTAGATGTCTCTGTGTAGGCTCGCCATAGAATAGGCCACTCCTTGCCCGTGGGTATCGTAAGAGCGACTAAGGGAACTTAACGGTCGAGGGATTGGCAGCAGTGTCGCTTTTAAAACATCACTAAAAGCCTAACGGCTGTTGCCAAATCGCCTGTCAAATATGGCAATTACAGGTTCAGGGACATATAACGGTTCATACATGGTGATAAAAAAGATGAAGTATGTCTGTTAGTTGTTTAGTACTCTTATTATAATCTCTGCTTAGAACATTTGGAACTAGATGGCGTTATTACAAAGTGTCCAAATGTATTTATTATTGTTTATTAGCTGTATTATTGTGTTTAATGGATATGCCCACGCCATAACTTACTAGTGCCCACCCCATAACTTGCTAGTACCCACCCCATAATTTTCTAGTGCCCACCCCATAATTTTCTAGTGCCCACCTCAGGATCAAGAGCTGAGCTTTCAGCTATGGGCAAATAGATATCCTGGAGTATATATACGTCTTTTTAAAGGGTCAAACCCGAATGGACGAATGGGACAGAGGTACCCAAGCAAAGGGCTTTTGTACAAAGTCTCCCTCTGATATTTAAATTACGGTAAGTGTATTTCGTAATGCCCCCAGGTATCAGTAACAGGCAAACGCCGGAGATTGGCCGTCTGCGCAATCAACATGCGCAAGTACGCCAGCCTGGAACCGTCGCAGCGGCCGCTGGTGCTGACCCTAGACCCCACCACGCAGAAGATCACCGCGGCCACCATACACCTCACGCTGCACTGCGTACTGCTGAGGGAGGGGCAGGCTACGTGAGTTGTTTACAGGGTTCCGTACTTCGAAAGCTTCAATTTGTCGTCTGCCAGGACCCTTTTTTTTAAAATGGGTGATGGTGTAATCTATTATTGGAGCTATTAGTGTACGCTGGTGGGACCTGAGTGAGAAATGATAGGTGAGGATGGAGTCAGGTCGGTTGGCCCATAGTGAAATTGACTACGATGGTTTCCGGAACCGCGTGGAGGTCAACCTGACGGTAATAATAATTAACAAACAAATTCTTTCATATTCATATATAAGTAAAGATGTTAGCCATTGGCGTAGTTAGTTATTATTTATTGTATTTGCTAGCCTTTACCCGCGACTTCGTCTACTTAACGGGGACATGGTGATGTACTGGTATTAATAGTAGCCTATGTCTTTCTTCATCCTGTATAGTATGTATATGCCAAATTTAGTAATGATAGGTTAAGTCGTTAAGTGGTAACAAACAAACAAACTCATTTTCACATTTATAATAGTTGTAAAGTTTTATTTATTGTACCACTTAAAGAATAATACAAAACAAATACATAATATTACATTTATGAACACACACACACACACACACACACACACACACACACACACATACACACACACACACACACACACACACACATACACACACACACACACACACACACAATCTAGTAACTATTGTTATGATATACTATAGTGTAGTTTTTTATTTTTATTTCCTTCTAAATTTTATAATTACTCTAGCCACGACAAATTTATATCGCTAAGTCAGTGAAAACCTGTTATTGGCTTTTTGTATGGATAAGTTGTTATTGTTTTAAGCTATAAATTGTAAGCTGTTGGTTTTCCAATAAATAAATAAATAAATACACTTATGAAGTACAAAAGTCGGTCTTATCGCTAAAGCAATCTCATCCAGATAACCTTTGGGTAGAGGAGAAGAGAAAAAAGGATTGTGGATCCATTATTGATTATTGTTTAATTGTTTGAAGGGATGAAGACATGCAGTCGTTGGCTTCACTGTTGTCAGTCAACAATAACTCGGACATCGCTGTGCTGGAAGATCTCGACGAAGATGACTACACGCTATCAGATAACTCTACAAGAGAGGTTTGTGACATACATACATACATACATATCTGTCACGCCTGTCTCCCATTAGGGCAGGCAGAAACAATGGAACGCCAAATGCTTCGCTTCAAACAAACCTCTTTCGCTTCTTCCACATTCATCAATCTTTTCATACACGCTCGCCGTTTGTGACATACTGAATAATAATTCAGTATTTTTTTTTTACAACATAAGGGGCAAACCAGCATGCGGCTCACCTGATGGTAAGTGACTGCCGCTGCCTATGGGTGATCATAGGCGGTGGTAGTCACTTAATATAGCAATGCCAGATTCATTGCAGGTGTGCTGTCGGCTTGCACGGATGAGCACGGATCTTCTTCACAGAACATTGCGACACACACACGCACATGAATACACATATATATTTTTAATTTTGGGCTTGAATTGAGCTGAAAACGGTAGATACGTTTATTTTGTATTTTTTTTTTGTTTGTTTGTTTTGTTTTTGTTTTGTATGTTACTATGTGAGTCGCATGATTATTTAAATAAATTATTTATCTCTTTCTTTCTTCAGATGCTTGACCTCCGACAGCAAATGGAGGAGATGACCCAAAGTCTAACGAACAGCGATATAGCGGCCACACCGAACAGCGTGCAAAGTTTAAACTTCGACAACTCGCGCACCCCCACCGCTCCCATAACGCCCGACACGGACGAGCCCCTCACCCCCGTGCCCAGGGACAATCCGTTCGAAGCAGAGCAACATTGCGACACGAACAACACCAAATCTAGACCGGAACACTTTAGTAACTTAACGAAACAGGCAATGAAAAGCGAACAGCCGAAATTTACGTCGACACCAAATAATAAAAATATTAATAATGTAGTGACAGATTATAAAGTAGATAGTTTGAGAGGCACGGCAGCGTTTAAACCTAAAACAATAGCGAAAACCAACCTTAAGCCGTTGGAGTTTAAAACTAATTTGAATAATATCACTCTGGACAAGAATGACAACGAGAACGAGGACAGTGATAAGACGCCGACCGCAGAAGTGGAGAATACAGAGAAAGCGTTCACGGAGAAGTTGGACAGAGACAAAACTCCAGTAAGTAAACACAAATGTTTGTGGCCTAAAGCCACAAACATTTGTTTTAAGGGCAAATGCTCTTTGATTCATTGTAGTTAGTATCAACCGGGCTTCGCAGGGCTGCATTGTAGAGTTTTTGATATTTTTTTAATACTACTATAGTAGCAAGCAGGCATACGGCCCGTCTTATGGTAAATGGATTTACCGTAGCCTATGGATGCCTGTAACACAAGGAATATCACGCGCGCGTTGCCGACCCATAAGAAACGTTAATTGACCTTTTTGAAGAACCCCATGCTGTAGTCTCTAGGGCAGTGATTCTCAACCTTTTTTTTGTTGCGGCACATATTTAACGAATTCAAAATTTGGCGGCGCACAAAGAAAAAGATAAAAATTATTTACTTACTACAACACACCGCATAAATAGTTTATGACAAAAATTTTAAATATTTGCAAAATTTGGCTGCACACAAAAGTGCCGCGGCACAGTGGTTGAGAATCACTGCTCTAGGGTAAGCCCCGACAGCAAGATCATTCCATTCATTGATTTATTATTGATATTAATATTGTATCCATATAAATAGCTTTTCAAACTCCATATATTTACAATCAATTTTTTAAACATTTAAATTATGTATGTATATCAATAATTAGTAGTACCGCATTCGAGTATTCTGACACTTCCCTAAGGTTGACTGGGAGAGAATGCTTTTAGCATTAAGTCCGCCATGTACACATATATGTACTAATGAATAAATAAATAAATAAAATGGTTATAGAACACTCTCCATTCCGTTAATATAGACTTATGCCATTGCTGACGTTTTGTTGCCCTAATAAAGTGAAACAATTCTATTATATTATTTATTTATTTATTTATTTTTATTTAACACTTTATTGCACCAACATAACAGGATTTGTTGAACAATTTTCAATAAGTATAGTGTAGTACAAAAGGCGGTCTTATTGCTAAGCAATCTCTTCCAGACAACCTTTGGGTAGAAGGAATTAAAGCATAAGTAGGTAGGTGGCGCATTAAAAAAAATAGATTTGTAAAAAATAATACATTCTTTTGTTATATTTCAAAAGAATAAGACAGCATTTTCGATGAAAGCTCTCAGTCGACTTGATTTCTTTCGACCTCTTAAACAATTGTGATTTAATTAATTATGTATAAATTGGAGTTTTTCTTTGTAAATTGTCACAATATTGTACACCGCTCTATCCGCTGACATTGATGCTCCCTTCCACTTTGCGTGTTGCTGGTGGAGAACTCTTTTAGAGTTAAGCTCGCCTTTGTACATTTTTTTTTATACCACTGAGGTGGCAAACAAGCATACGGCCCACCTGATGCTAAGTGGTTACCGTAGCCTATGAACGCCTGCAATACCAGAGGTATTACGCGCGCGTTGCCGCCCCTGAAGAAAACTCTTTACCCCCCCTTTAGAAGAACCCCATGCTGTAGTCTCTTGGGAAAACCTCGGCAGGGAGCTCATTCCACAACCTGAGTGTTCGTGGGAGGAAACATCTCTGAAACCGCCCAGTACGCGACCATTGAGTCTGTAGGACATGAGGGCGAGCCGTACGATGGTAGAAAGTGGCTGTGGGCATCATATTGAACAATTCTTCTGAGCACAATCCATTGTACATTTGATTACGTCTGTCATATTTTTATGTATAATTAGTGTGTACAATAAATAAGAAATAAATAAATTATCGTCATATTTCAACAAATTATTAAAACCATTAATCACGGACTTTCAGCATGGTTTTGTCAAGGCTAGATCAGTGAATACAAATTTAGTAACATTTGCTGATTTTATTACTGAAGCTGTAGATACTAACTTGCAAGTTGACGCTATTTATACAGACTTTAGCAAAGCTTTTGATTCAGTACCCCATAATATTCTGCTGCAAAAACTATCTTTATATGGTTTTGCAGATCCTTTGCTATCATGGCTGAGATCGTACCTAACCAGTCGATCATTTTACGTTGTTATTAATGGATTTAAATCGCTCAATAAAATGATTACATCAGGTATCCCTCAAGGCTCTAATATTGATCCGATTCTCTTCAACATATTTATAAATGATGTTGTTTCGGGTTTTGAGTCGTCCTTAGCATATTTGTTTGCAGATGATTTGAAACTTGCAAGAATTATAAGATCTGTCTATGATTGTGTGCTTTTGCAACGCGATCTGGATAGACTAATTATGTGGTGTGAATATAATGGCATGTCTCTGAATTTTAGGAAATGTCTTCATATAAAATTCACTAGAAAACACAATAAAATTGCCTTTGATTATCACATCTATGGTGAAACTTTAAGTGAAGTGAGCACTATAAGAGATCTGGGTATACTTCTAGACAGTAAATTAACATATTTACCTCAAATAGAGTTTGTAATAGCAAAGGCATCAAGAGCTTTAGGTTTTGTAATTCGCAATGCCAAGGAATTTGTAAATCCAAAAACTAAAATAAAATTATATTATTCATTAGTTCGAAGCGTCTTGGAATATGGTTCGATAGTTTGGCGACCACATTATTCGACCCATATTTTAAGATTAGAGCGTATACAAAAAAGGTTTCTCTGGCATTTGGCTTTTTCAGCTCGACAATCTAAGACCTTGGTGGCCTACGGGGACAGACTTATCTATTTCAATATGGTATCACTTGATAAGCGTGGAACATTAATAGATTTAATGTTCTTATATAAGTTGTTTAGGAACAGAATTGACTGTTCTCAGCTTCTTACCAAATTTAATTTTCGATTGCCCGTACACTATCCCCGTAGTTACATCAGTCTAATGTCCGTGCCGTTCCGTAGAACTGTTCTTGGTGCCAACTCCACTGTACCACGTCTTTGCAAGCTGTTGAATGATTGCAAGCAACACTTGGATATTCACTTCGATACAGAAGGGGATTTCTATAGGAAAGCATTACAGTTAATTTAAATAGCTAAAAAACTTATGTGAAGCAATCATCTACTGAATCTAAAAAACTATACCAATGTCAAATACTTCAAGAGATTGTTATACTATATTATTGTTTTTGTTAATTAGCATGCTGTGTTTCCTTTAAAATGATTGTACACTAAGTATAAATAGACGGTAATTTAAATATTAAATCTTATCAGTGTAACAATTACTAGGAGACCAAATAAAGATAAAATAAAATAAAATAAATACAAAATTATGTGATAGAATACATACAAACTTTTCCATTGAATCTATCAATTGATGAAAACGGCATAAAATTGGTTGCGTAGTTTAAAAGATCTAAGTGTACAGACGGCGGGAAGCGACTTTATTTTTATACTATGTAGAAATAAGATATTGAGTCTGAGCAAATATTAGTGTTTATTAAAGAAAGAAAAAAAAACAACAAGCAAGTAGAAAATTTCGCATAGGCTTAATCTAAGTATTGTAGTATGAATAGGTCATAAGTAAAAAAAATTGTAAAATAATGTTTTATAATGATATGTGAACTGTAGTTGGTCAATAAATAAGATCAAACGTTTCCAAAGGTGCAAGATCTTCTGGAGTGGTGTCAGAGTGTCACCCGTGAGTACAAGTCGTGCAAGATCACCAATCTCACCACCAGCTTCCGATCAGGGCTCGCCTTCTGCGCAATTATACATCGATTTCGGCCTGATCTCATGTGAGTTGAATTATATATATATATATATATATATATCCACACACACACGTGTACTAAGCATACTATGTATAAATATATTATGTATATTTATACATAGTATGCATGTTATTATGTTACTTTGACATATGTTAGGTAGATATATAATTTATTTGCATTACAGTACATACATAACATCAGATATTGGTACATACTCAAGAGAATAAATAAAAGGAAAGTACTTAAAAGTGGTAACATAATTTTTCATTTAGCGCATGTGTCACAGTAACACAGAATGGTCACAACTTCGTTTATTGTTTTGCCATCAAAAAAAGCAAAACACTGATATTCTATTGTGGACAAAAGCTAAAAGTTGTGTTTCAAAATTTAATAAATCCTTTATTACTTGTTTATATTATATACTATAGTATATAATATAAACAAGATGGGACCTAATATAGACCCTTGAAGTACTGTAAAATATATAGATTTAAAGATGATCACCTCATCATCTGTTTATTGATTTCCATAAAATAATTTTTAAGCTTTCCTTTTCTGTGAGTGTTGTAAGAGGCGACTAAGAGATGGTAATGGTCTAGGGATGGGCAGCAGCGTTTCTCTTAAAAAAGTTTAATTGTAGTTACTAATATGTCTATTAAGTGTGTATATAATGCATTTATAAATGTTATGAGTCTGGGTGGACTTATCTCTGAAAGAGATCTCTTCCAGTCAACCTGATATAGTTAGAAAGAATGTCGTTATATTTTTTTCTCAAACATGCTCGGAAATGTGAGCATTATTTTGACAATCTTTTTCGAGATAAATCAAAATTGCCGTACTGGCCAGATACATGCGGGCAGCGGCCGGCAAAAGTTGTATGAAAATTCATATTTGTCGTGTTTTGCGGCCAGATAAATTACTACATAAACTCATATTTGTCCTGGAATTTAAAAATGGGATGGCCTTTTACTTTGAAACATGGTTATTAAGGAGGTAACTAATAAAAGGTTTTATTTAAACTTCGAACTGGCTTGCAAATAGAAAGCTGTTTATTAAAAAAAAAAAAAGCAAAGGAACACTATGGCGCGTGAAAAATTATTACTGTTTGTTACTCATCATTGAACTTAAAAAGTAAAATTGCGTTTTTGATTTCCGCGCATCGTTTGAGAATAGTAGATTACTGCAGCGGCCGGCAACTGTGGCATTGATGGACGAACATGCATGTGGGTCGAGGCGACGAAATAATGCTCAACATTTTCAAGCATGTTTAAGAAAAAGTACTGTACAAGCCCTGGCGACAACTAGACATCGATGTAGTCACGTATGTGTGCCTCGGCTACGTCTCGGGCCACACATGCACGGTCGTCCATGAATGCGTCGGTTGGTGGCCGCTGCAGTAACGCGGTACGTTCGGTGGTGAGCGTGGATGTTGGAGGAGGTATTTAGAGCGCGTGCGTGTGCGTGTGCGCGTGGTGTGCAGCGACTTCTCGGGGCTGCAGCCGGAGGCGGCGGAGGCGTGCGTGCGCGCGGCGCTGGCGGCGGGCGCGCGGCTGGGCGTGCCGCGCCTGCTGGCCGTCGGCGACGTGTGCCGCCCCGCGCCCGACCGCCTCGCCGTCAGTACACTACCACGCCTACTCTATTTTTCTATACTACTCAAGTGGCAAACAGACGCACAGTGGCCCAAGTGAGACGCTACGCGCGGAAAATGGAATCTTTTTCACAAGTGGCAAACAAGCATACGCCCGCCTGATGGTAAGCGGGTACCGTAGCCTATGAACGCCTGCACTACCAGAGGTATTACGCGCGCCTTGACGACCCTGAAGAAACCTCTTTACTTTTTTGTTTTTTGAAGAACCCCATGCTGTAGTCTCTTGGGGCCTCGACAGGGCCTACTAACTAATAATACAATACCAACCCCAAGCTCTCAAAAGTGCTTATCTGTTTTTTTTTCTAATACTATTTAGAATAGCAAACAAGCTGACAGCCCACCTGATGGAAAGTGGTAACCGTCGCCTATAGACATGAGCAGTACCATGAACATAACAGAGTTTACTGTTTCGCCCATAATACCACTCATACGTTTCTATTCCTGAGGACTCAGGTGTTATTCCTCTGTACCCAGTAAATTCACATCATATCCCACCCTTCATACCGAAACACAGCCATGCAAACACAACTGCTTTACGGTTGAAACACGAATGGGACAAAGGTACCCAAGCAATCAACTTTTATACAAAGTCTCCCTCTGGTATTAGGTTTGTATTGAGACACTATTTAATAAATATAATGTGTTTTTATTTTATAATAATAATAATAATAATAATAATGGTCGCTGCCCGGGGGTCGCCGGGGCGCGTCTACAACTGGCGGTAGGCGCGGCAGAATGCGAGCCAGCCGACCGGCCCCACCACCTGGCCGGTCCGACCCCTCGCCATCGACATCAGCTGGCTTGGCGCCGGCAGGGCCGTCACAGGCCCAGCAATCGGTGCCCGCCACTGGTGGTACACGTCGCATGAGGTGGACAAGAGCCATGAATGAGGACCTCATGCGTGCGTTCTTCAGGGCTACAGGGACAGAAACAGGCAGAACAGGATACCGGGCAGTAATGCACCGCGAGTTTCTGCGTCTTTTACCGGATCTAACCGTCTCGGAACAGAACCTAGCCGACAGAGTTCGGTACATACAGCGCTCTGGTATGTTTAGCGCGACCGAACTCGAACGATTGCGAAGTGAAGTTGTTCCAGAAGCAAATTCCGCGACCGTAGAGCAACCCATCTCAGACGTGCTACCTAGCGTAGAGGTGGTTGCCGAAACGCTTTCAGAAGTGGATGCGGACGGAACAACTTCCCAGGATATAGAGCATATGAGGAGCATACTAGAGGAGGCGATTCTAGAGATCCGAAGAACTCCCCTCGAAGAGAGACCGAAGCTTCCCCGGATATATCCAAATGTGGCGACGCGGGATGCCATTGAGGCCACAAATGGACTGCTGCCTCAGTACCTTGAGGGCAGCGGTGACCTGGGAGAGACGAGTTCAATCCTGTTTGGCGCTGCGTTGGCAGTATGCCGATATACCGGCGCAAAAATGCCCCGGGCTGGACGTAATATCCAAAGGGATAATATGAAACCAGCCTGGAAAAGAAGGATTGAACGACGGATCGCCCAGGCCAGAGTCCTCATTGGTAGACTGCTCTGCTTCAGGGAGGGCAACACACGCCCGAGAATTATGCGCTCCGTAAAAGAGGCCTTTGCTGGGACAGGTGTACGTCTGTTCCAGCCGGACTTCGGGCACAAACTTACGGAGCGCATAGATGAACTGAAGCAGAAGATCGCTGCATGGGGGAAGCGACTCCGACGGTACTCTGAGAGGGTTGAGAGGTATCAACAGAATCGCCTCTTTATGAGTGATCAACGGAAGTTTTATAGGAACTTGGAGCGCCCAAAACTACAGCCCACAGGACAAAGACCCGAAACAGCCAATTTCGTCGCCTTCTGGAGACAGCTGTGGTCTAAACCTGTGGAACATGAGGAGGGCGCATGGATGCACGATGTTGAGGAAGCATGTGCTCGAATAACGCCGATGAACGCCATTGCCATTACGGAGGAAGACGTGGTTGCCGCGATCCGTCGGGCTCCGAACTGGAAAAGTCCGGGGATCGACGGATTGCAGCACTACTGGTTAAAGGCGTTCTCGGCCAGCCATGCGACCTTAGCCGTGCAATTCCAGAGTGCCCTCGAAAACAGGGCGCTCCCGAACTTCCTTACAACCGGGATCACTCATTTAGCTCCTAAGACGGACGATACCGCGGATCCATCTAAATATCGCCCCATCACTTGTCTTACGACAATATATAAGACGTTAACATCCGTTCTGAGCGCTAAGATCTCTCGTCATGTGTACGAGAATAAGATCCTATCTAGCGCTCAGAACGGATGCAGGGGCGGTAGCCGCGGATCGAAGGAGCTGCTCCTCATTGATGCTGTCGCTGGGCACGTGGTCAAGCGGAACCGTCGGAATTTCTCCGCCGCCTGGATAGATTATAAAAAGGCGTTCGATTCCGTGCCCCATTCATGGCTCCGGAGGATACTCGAGCTGTACAAGATCGACGGTACAGTTCGAGTGTTCTTGGAGGCATGCATGAGGCAGTGGACGACGATCCTGACTATCCAGGGCGAGCGATTGACGGATACCGCTGACCGGATAGAGATAAAGAGAGGAATATTCCAGGGCGATTGTTTGAGTCCACTTTGGTTTTGCCTGTCCCTGAATCCACTCAGTACTTTACTGGAGAATTCGGGGACTGGATTTCAGTATCGGAGAGGAGGTACACGAGTGTCTCACCTTCTGTACATGGATGACTTGAAACTGCTAGCTCCGAGCGTCGAACGCCTGACGGAGCTGCTAAATATCGTAAACGATTATAGCAGCTCTATTAGGATGGCGCTCGGAATAGACAAGTGCGCGGTCCTCCATGTGCAGAGGGGACGGGTCACTCAAACTGAAGGGATCGCCACAGATCCCTCTAATATTAAAACCCTCTCCGAGGCTGAAACATACCGGTATCTGGGCATGTCACAAAACATCGGTGTGAAGGAGACGGATATGAAACAGTCAGTCCGCGAGGAATTTTTTGCGCGCCTTACAAGAGTACTGAAAAGTTCTTTGTCGGGCGCCAATAAAATCCGAGCTTATAACGGCTGGGTCATACCCGTACTCCTTTACACTTTTGGCGTGCTCAGATGGTCTCAAACCGAACTCGAAGCCCTGGATCGGAAAGTCCGCACAACTATGACCCTCCATAGAATGCATCACCCGAAATCGTCAGTCATGAGGCTGTATATCCCGCGGAAAGCTGGTGGTCGAGGCTTGTTAAGCGTTAAGACCATGCACAACCGCGAGATTGACAGCCTCAGGACATATTTTCTGGAGAAAAGAGACGAGGGTTTGCATAGAGAGGTCATAGAATGTGACAAAGGATTCACCCCTCTTTCTCTGGCTAAAGAGGACTGGCGAAAACCCGAAGTTTTGAGTACCTCTCAGCGGGAGGCCGTATGGAAAGAGAAGGAGTTGCACGGAAGGTTCTTCAAAGCCCTTCACGGGCCGTACGTAAACACGAAGACCTCCGTGCACTGGCTACAGTTCGGTGATCTCTTTGGAGAGACCGAGGGTTTTGTCTGTGCAATACAGGATCAGGTGGTTAAGACGAACAATTACCGAAAGCACATTCTGAAGGATGGCACTGAGGACATCTGTCGAGCATGTCGCCATCCTGGAGAGTCACTCAGACATGTGCTTTCGGGTTGTTCAGCTCTTGCCAACACAGAGTACTTGCACAGGCACAACCAGGTAGCCAAAATACTCCATCAAGAGCTAGCTCTGAAGTACGGCCTCGCGAATGAGAGGTTGCCGTACTATAAGTACGAGCCACAGCCGGTCCTCGAAAGCGACAGCGTCAGGCTCTACTGGGACCGATCCATCATCATGGACAGGACTGTTCTTGCGAACAAACCTGATATCGTGGTGATGGACCGGGCACTTTCGAGGGTGTTTTTGGTGGATGTCACCATACCGCATGACGAGAACCTCGTGAAAGCCGAAACCGAGAAGAAGAGAAAATATCTCGACCTGGCTCACGAGGTGACCGAAATGTGGGGGGTGACATCTACCGAAATCATCCCAATCGTTATGTCGGTGAACGGTCTTATCCCAACCAGTCTGGAACAACATCTCAGACGGTTGGGATTCCGGGGCGGCTCACTCCCGGGAAAGATGCAGAAAGCGGTGCTCTTAGATTCTGCCCGCATTGTACGCCGGTTTCTCTCCCTGGGGCCCTGAACCCCGGCCGACTGTGCTTCTGCCGGGGGTTAGTTGCCATCTCCTCTCCTTAAGAGGGGAGATGAGAATTTTGGTAAAATTTAAAAATAATAATAAAAAATCTCTACATCTCCCTACAAAAGGCTGTTATATTAAATACTTGCAGAATAGTTAGAAAATTCTTAGATATAGATGAGGATGAAGTAGCCACCCGACATACACAAACATAACCTTCCATTCAAACATACACATTGCACTTACTTGGTCACGTACCCGTAAGTGTAGTATAATTACCAGCGCTAAAAGCTGAGAAATAAGCAATTCAATGTAAATAATAATAATAATAATAATAATTTATCTCCTCTATCTAGAATATTGAATAATACAGGATATGGATACACTATAAGCAGGGATACACAAACTAAAATCACACATCTACTTTATATGGATGATATCAAACTATATGCAAGCAATAGACAACATCTAGACTATTTTCTTAAGATAACAGAATCATTCAGTAATGACATAAAAATGACATTCGGTACTGAGAAATGTAAAATAAATTCTATTGTTAAAGGTCAATATAAACAAACGCATCCATATAATCTTAATGTATTAAATGAAGCAATAGATAATATGGAACCTAAAGAAACTTATAAATATCTAGGCTATAAACAACATACTTCCATTGATCATACACAAATAAAATCAGAATTGACATTAAAATACAAACAACGTCTCAATAAAATATTTAGCACTCTTCTGTCAGCTAGAAATAAAACTAAGGCAATCAATACATATGCAATATCCACTCTCACATATTCATTTGGTATAATAAACTGGACCGATACCGACCTTGATGCACTTAATACACTCACACGATCTATATCATACAAACACAATCATCATCACATACATTCAGCAGTAGAGCGTTTTACACTAAATCGAAAACTTGGTGGTCGTGGATTCATAGACATTAAAAACTTACACTACTCGCAAGTTCACAATCTTCGCACATATTTTCTACATCACTCCAACACCAGCATTTTGCATAAAGCAATCACAACCTTACCAGTATCAGGAACAACTCTAAAATTTAATAATAAGCAATATAAACCACAAGATAAAATTATAAAAGAAGAACAGAAAGTTGAGAACTGGAAGAGAAAACAACTACACGGAAAACACCCTTGTCAACTGGATCAGCCCCATATTGACAAAGCAGCATCTAACACATGGCTTACTAAGGGAAATATATTCCCAGAAACCGAAGGTTTCATGATAGCGATCCAAGATCAAATAATAAATACACGTAACTATGCAAAGTATATAATAAAGGACAATTCCGTACAAAATGATAAATGTAGGCTATGTAATAACACAAAAGAAACGATAGAACACATTACAGGAGGTTGTTCCGTACTGGCTGGCAGGGATTATGTGCGAAGACATGATAATGTTGCAAAATTAATTCATCAGAAGCTCGCAATTAAACACAAACTTATATCCGTTAAATCGCCATATTATAAATACACTCCTTCTGCAGTACTGGAAAATGAAACTGCTAAGCTTTATTGGAACCGAGATATCATCACCGATAGAACAATAACCTGTAATAGACCTGATATAACACTTACATTTAAACAAGAAAAGACAACTTACCTTTTAGACATCTCCATACCAAATACCGAAAACCTAAAACAGAAACATAACGAGAAGATTCAAAAATACTTACCTCTTTCCGAAGAAATAAAAGATATGTGGCACCAAAAGAATGTTGATATAATCCCGATTATCTTATCTTCTACTGGCGTTATCCCAAAATCTCTACACAACTCATTAAATAAACTGCACCTTAATAAGACATTCTTCATTGAACTCCAGAAATCTACAGTATTAGATACATGCTCCATAGTTAGAAAATTTTTAAATAGTCCAATTCCTAACATTCCTACTGAATAAAATAAAATATGAGAACAAGTGACTTGGTAACAATCCCGTCCTTGTCTCTACAAAACCAGCTATAAGCTGAGAAATAATACATATGTATATAATAATAATAATCTTCTACTGGCGTTATCCCAAAATCTCTACACAACTCATTAAATAAACTGCACCTTAATAAGACATTCTTCATTGAACTCCAGAAATCTACAGTATTAGATACATGCTCCATAGTTAGAAAATTTTTAAATAGTCCAATTCCTAACATTCCTACTGAATAAAATAAAATATGAGAACAAGTGACTTGGTAATAATCCCGTCCTTGTCTCTACAAAACCAGCTATAAGCTGAGAAATAATATATATGTATAATAATAATAATAATAATTCTTTATTATCAGGTACTTAGCCCATAGAGGTACAATTGTATTACAACGTGCACGGATAACATATAAAAAAATATAAAAATATAACAATCAAAATATACAAAAAGAAAAATATAAAAATTAAAATATGTAGAAAATTTATAATTTATAAAAAGTAAAAGTAAATAATATAGCAAGAAGCAAGAGAACATTATTTAATGTTCCTGTCTTGGTGCACGGACAACCAATACTTTTGAATGGGACTGTTCAGACACTGGGACAATGTGCTGAGGATTTCATTCTTTGAATTCCGAATGTGAGCCCAGAAATTTGCTACACGATCTCTTATTATAGCGAAGTGTGTGTATGTCTACAAACACTTTTTCCACGTGAAATTGTGTTGCACTTACAAGAGAGGAAGTTTATAACCAACAATCGTTTTCAATTTACAACCTTATTATTATTATTATATTAAGTTTAGAATGTATTGCTATATTTAATATAGCATGCAAATCTTTATAAATAATATTCTTTAAAGATAATGAATCTGTTACAATGTTAATATAATTAATATTTATACTAATTTAAAATAAGGCTTCCATGCACTGTACTATATATCATTCAGCGTAATATAGTGTTTGAAATTCATATATTTTTCCTTTCAGATAATGACGTACCTATTCCAGCTTCGTACACATTTCACCGGCAAAGAGTTGCAAGTGGAACAATTAGGTATGTCACATAATAAATAAATAAACTCGAAATATATGCTAAGTTGCATTAAATAAATTTGTACAGGACATTGTCTTTGACGTGTGGTCCCGGCACAGAATAGGCCACCCCTTCCTTTCCCGTGGGTGTTGTAGGAGGTGATTAAGGAAGGGCCAGGGGTGGGCAGCAGTGTCATAATCGGCAATAATACAGACAAAATCGGCTTTTACCATGATTATTTGTGTATTTTTTTAAGGCAATGACGAGACAGAGTCGTCGTACATGGTGGGCCGTCACGACACTGACGGCTCCCTCCCTCAGGACCTGTTCAGCCGAGAAGTGGCTACTAGACGCTCGAGGAACGTCATCGAACGACCCAGACCTGTGTAAGAGAGAACAACTACCCTTTAATATGAATAAGATTTCATTTTGGGTCCAGTCAACAATGACTAGATATAGACAAGTGGCAAGTGAATTCGTCGATGGAATCGACATCGCTAGCGAGTCCGTGAGCTGGAATGAGACATCCGGTAGTTCGTTTGCCACTTGTCTAGAGGCCCCGATTTGTTTCAGAAACCAAAACGAGATTGTCAAAATTTTTTATTTAATAGTGTACATTTACTGGGTGTGAGGCCCATATATGGGCCCATATATGGAGGTTATGGAGGAGGGTGACCTTCTGATGCAGGTGATAACACTTACTAGAAGGTCACAACAACGATCTTAGTATTGTATCAATATTGTTACGAAATTTTTTTTTTCATTTTTTTTTTCATTTTCATATTTCTTGAAACATATGTTACATTGTCAAGTATACGTGTACTCAACAGTTCACAAGAATCCCAAGAGTCGAGACACTCGCAAGAGAGGGCCACCCCGGACAAGCCGAGTTCGCCGACCGCCATCAAGGACGTTCGGGATATGTTCCTGCAGCAGTCCAAGACCATACTGGGCAAGATGCTGTCACCAGCGCGAGATCAAAAGGAGAAACCTTCAGCCAAGTGGTTCGCGGACCCGTTGAAAGTCAACGAGGTTAGATAAGTTTTTTTATACAACTTAGAATGGCAAACAAGCTGACCCGATGGAAAGTGGAAACCGTCGCCTGTAGACATGAGCAGTACCATGGATATAACAGAGTATACTCTTTCCCCCTTGATACCCTCCATGCGTTGCCATTTCTGAGGACTCACATGTTATTGCTCTGTACCCAGTAAATTCACTGTCATATTCAACCCTTCAAACTGAAACACAGCCATGCAAATACAACTGCTTCACGGTAGAAACACGAATGAGACGGAGGTACCCAAGCAATAGACTTTTGTACAAAGTCTCCCTCTGGTAACATTATATTAACAATGCTATTTTTACTTTATATTATACATATCGTTATAGTTTTTCTTCTGTCTTTTCTGAGTAGTGATAGATCCGTAGTAATCATCAGCATTCAAGCATATCTGTGATAAAATACCATCAAGCCAATAGTGAGATAAATATATTCTTTATTGCACTTGTAAGTTACATATAAAATAATGTATTTATAAATGTTGTGAGCAAGAGTGGACTTATCTCTGACAGAGATCTCTTCCAGTCAATCCAGTACAGTTTGAAAGCATTTCGTTAGCGGGCAGCTGAAGTGCTACAACTATTAATACATAAATAAATATGCAGTTAAATAAAATATATAATAAAATATTACATAAATACATACACTATAAATACATACAATACCTACCTATTCATGTAATATATGTTAAAATAAATTAATATACTACTTACATTAGAAATTTCGTTTAATGATTTTAAGATTTGACTGTTCAATTAGAAAAGTAAATAAAAAAAAAAAATATTACTGAAGGGAAAGAAAATGTGATTTCAACCTCTTCTTGAAAGAGGTAATAGAGGGACTCTCTTGTATGTGAGAAGGGAGTTTGTTCCATAACTGGACAGCTCGATACGAGAAAGAGTTGCTCATAAAGTATGTCCTATACACAGGAAGTTCAAGCATCCTGGACTGAAGAGTATTACGACGATATTGTAGGCATAAATACTTGTATTTATGCCTACATTATCGCCAAAAGAGAATAGAGAAATAGATCAGTGCAAGAAGAGGAAAAGTCGAACATATTTTTAGCTTTGTTTCACAAAAACACCACTTCAGTCATGAAAAAACCAGTTATTACAAGTTAAACTACTGTATCGATTTTGATAAAATTTCTACAGGGCCAATCTGAAAGTATATATTTTCAGATATAGAAGAATTTTCCAAATCAGTTTATAAATGACAGAGTTGTGAGGTAACAAACAAACATTAAAAAATATAATCGAATTGAAAAGCTCCTCTTTTATTGAAGTAGGTTGTGTTTGGTTGGTTTTCAGGGGGACTGCGTAGAACTCTAGTTCCCAATAATACTGATCTTTTCACCCTCATTGCAGAATTCCTACAAAAAGTATATTCCATTTCAGCCATTACCAGCGAGGCCTGAGAAGTTGATGACCCGCAAAGAACTAACGGATCCGTTCGGGTCTGATGAGGAGGAGGAACAGCCTCAGCAGCCAACCAGCAACAGTAACAGTGGCCCAGCAGTGACGCAGCAGGAGAACAATGCTAAAATTGAATCTGGTAAGTTTGTAATATCTACTATGACTTAGGAATCCTATCTTATTGCTTGTACTCTTCCTATTAATATCATCATCTCACCAGCTTTTAATTGCTGAACATACCTCCCTCATAAGGATGGTTTGCCAATAGTTGCCACGCTTGGCAGGCAGGTTGGCAACCGCAGTTAGGCTTTGGTGATGTTTAAGAGAGGCGTTGTTGTCCCTTCTTTAACTATTAAATTCCCTTAGTCGTTTCTTACGACACCTATGCGGAAGAATGCGGTGGCTCATTCTATGCCGGGACCACATGGCAAAATTATAGATAGATAGATACTCTTTATTGTTTCCTCCAAAAGATTACAATAGTAAACTTATTATAAATATAAATAATAACAAGAAATAATCACAATGAGGAAACAATGGGCGACCTTATCGCTAAGAGCGATCTCTTGCAGGCAACCTTTGGATGGAGAGGAGTAACAATACACAATTTGGTGGGAGGCACGATGAAAAATTTTGTTAGTTCTAAATATGGGAGATGTGATACATATAATAATGTATGTTAAAGTTTCTAAATATGGAATGATAAATGTTAAATTATTTGGATTAATGTTTCTTACTCTTTTACGCAAAAACTACAGAATGGATTTGAATCAAATTTGGTATACTTAAATTTCATTTATTATATCATATCAATTACTACGTAGGATATTTTATGTAAGGCTATGCTATTTTCATGTAACTTATCAGTAACAATTCTTGATTACAGAACAAGCCCCGCCCGCGGAGGCGTCCGTCCCCCCCGTCCCCCCCGCCGCCGCCGCCGCCCCCTCGGTCCCGACGGAGCTGCCGCGGCCGACGCCGGTGAGTGTACAGTCCTGTCCGCTAGTGTGGCTTGTGTTACCGCTACCTTCCTCTAGGTGATGTTTCGGCCGCACTGCTTGGATTATTGTGAAAAGTTGTAACATCATTCATAAAACATAGACAGTCGACGGCGACGACTCCCTCTCGCTACACCAGAGGCATACTTTATACAAAAGTCGATTGCTTGGGTACCTCTGTCCTATTCGTGTTTCAACTATGGGGCAGTTGTGTTTGCATGGCTGTGTTTTGGTTTGAAGGGTGGGATATGGCGTGAATTTACTGGATACAGAGGAATAATACCTGAGTCCTCAGGAATGGCAATGCATGGGGGGTATCATGGGCGTAATAGTATACTGTGTTATGTCCATGGTACTGCTCATGTCTATAGGCGACGGTTACCACTTTCCATCAGGTGGGCCGTCAGCTTGTTTGCCATTCTAAATAGTATAAAAAAAAATACATAAAAATATGGACAGACAGACAGACAAAATTTCAAGAAATTATTGTTTTGATATAATATCTATTGATCTTATATTATTTTTTCTGAAATATCTCCCATGTACAGACAAAGAGTGTTGACGTCAGGCAGGCGGCCGGCCGTTACACTAAAAGCCAAATCTTTTTGTAACAAGGATAAGAAACATATTACGCCGACCCCAAATTATAATTGAGATAAGGGTAGGGAGATGATGATGCTGATGATCCTTCTATGTACAGACACTGTCTAAATATTTTTTTTTATATAAGTAAGATTTTTTAAAAAATGTAAATACATTTGTCAACTACTCACCATTCTCCAATCACTGCGGCCGCACACCACTTGATTGCGATTCTTTCCCAGTGACGTCACTACCGTTGTTTAAAGATACTTTAACACGAAACCTACCGACATTTCATATATACCTAATCCTACCATGAGCGGTCAAATGACCGCTTTAAAATAAAGTTGTATCTTAATATAGAAAGAGATTTTAGCCAATTGGATAGTGAACAAGTAAATAATAGTAAGTTGTAAATATTGAAAAATGGGTTGTATGTATATTATAGTAAAAGTCAATAACTTACATGGTGATACAGTAACGTTATACCTACATGAAAATATTTAAACTAAATTTCAAAAACGGTCATTTGACCGCGCTCGGTAGGTTTAGTGTTAATTATTATTCAATGCAATTATAATTCAATACAGTTATAATTCAATACAGTTATAATTCAATACAGTTATAATTCAATACAGTTATAATTCAATACAGTTATAATTTAATACAATTGTAATTCAATACAGTTATAATTCAATACAGTTGTAATTTAATACAATTGTAATTCAATACAGTTATAATTCAATACAGTTATAATTCAATGCAGTTATAATTCAATACAGTTATAATTCAATACGGTTATAATTCAATACAGTTATAATTCAATACAGTTATAATTTAATACAATTGTAATTCAATACAGTTATAATTCAATACAGTTATAATTTAATACAATTGTAATTCAATACAGTTATAATTCAATACAGTTATAATTTAATACAATTGTAATTCAATACAGTTATAATTCAATACAGTTATAATTCAATACAATTATAATTCAATACAATTATAATTCAATACAGTTATAATTCAATACAATTTTATTCTTATTAAAACAATTTGAAGTATAGTGACATCTGTGAAACGATTTCGCAATCAAAGTGGTGTGAGTTCTATAAAGATTCATCACTACTCCCTTCACATATACGCCGATATATTGGTACAGACATTTGATTTTTCCAAATCATCCGCTAGAGGCGTAGTTAAGGTTGATATTGAAACATTTTTAATGTAAACGTTAACGCAGTAGTAACATAAATCTGGGGGTCTACCATGAAATAAAATTCCGAATCTTCGAACTCAATTTCTTGTTTTTCTGAAATCGATCCAATAAAAAGAGGTTAACGTTCCGTTCGACATAAATTCTACCATAAAAGTCCAAAGTGATGATATTTTAATATTCCTTATGTTTTTAAACGGTATATAATTTTGACATAAATTTGTGTTTCGTTCGATAACATTTCATGATAGACCCTCTGTGTTAATGTTACGCTAGGAAGTCAGTAGCCTGATCCTCGTAGACCACAACGATTATATATATATATATATATATATATATATATATATATATATATATATATATATATATATATATATATATATATATATATATATATATATATATATATATATATATATATATATATATATATATATATATATATATATATATATATATATATATATATATATATATATATATATATATATATATATTCTCTATTTCACTTGTAAATTACATTGATAATGCATTTATAAATATTGTAAGCAAGGGTGGACTTATCTCTGACAGAGAGACTAGAATCCGGCTAAAGGACTAAATCTATACAGTATTGTGCAACTATGTTCGTTACTATTAATATTTTGTTAATATATCTGGTGATATATTATATGATATATGACATAAATATGTACATAGTAAGCAAGTATTATCTATCTATGTCTTTTTCGTTTTATCACCTATAACTTGACTCCTATGAACATTGAGTTGATGCGATTTGTTTGAGCTACAAATACCATAGTGTATTCATAGGCTTCTTCATTGTTCTTGTTCACACATGGCCTATATTCTATTATTTATTTATTTTTTATAATACTAGACAGGTAAATAAGTACTTCAGAGTAAATAGGATTCATAATTCGTATTATATGAATTTAAAATAAATGTAATGAATAATAACAATAATAATTCTTTATTTGAAACAAAAACATTGGTTACAATATGACGCAGAAGTATAAAACTGTGTCGCGAACATGAACGCCCTCCTCCTCATTGCAGGATTCCAAAACGGACATTTAAAACGTATGGTAGCTAGTTACACCAACGAAGACATTTTTGTTATACCTAGCAACTAACTACAATACTAATGAACTACAATAATTTAGAAAAATTGAAAATTTAAATACAGTTGCCTACATGTTAACTTAAAAAAAAGTGTGTGTGCGTAAATGTGTGTGTGTGTGTTTGTGTGTGTGTGCGTGCGTGCGTGTATGTATGTGTGTGTGTGTGAATTTGTGTATCAAGAATAATTAGATCGTGGATAAGTCAGTTTACTGGATTAGTATTAAAATATCAATACACACAAAATATGAATTTACTTTTAATATACAATATTAAAATAAGAAATGTATAATAATCATACAAAAAACACTAAAATAATAATATTAATAGCTAATAGAACATTGGCCTGCTGTGAATCAAGCTTACATAGAATCATTGTAATGTATTCAAATGCTATATGAATACAATTTTTTTTTTCATTTCATTCTCATCAACATGGCTTGCAAATTGTGTGTGCGTGTGCCGCCAACAACGTCTCATTGGAAAATGTCACGGACGCTTGTGATTGGATGAAAACCGACGCTTCTGATTGGTCAATTTACTCTCCCGCTTTACTGTGATCGGTCGACGATTCCCGCGCTTTGGTTGACACATGAAACGCTTCGCTCTGATTGGCCGATGGGTATTGCCTCGTTTTGATTGGCTATTAGCAATTATTGTCTCGGCACGATGAGTTGAAAGAACGAGCGAGACAATTGCTTGAAGCTACTAAAAAGGAGGCGAGAGAAAAGGAGAGAAATAGAAGGCAAAATTCCAAAGAGAAGGAAGAAGGGAAGAGTGAGATTGCGAATGGACTTAGAAATGGGGAAATGAGTCCGAAGAAGGTATGTAGTAGTGAAGTAATTTAGATCGTGAGCTTTTGAAAATAGAGTCTAGTTTTCAGTAATAACATAGCAGTAGTGGTATTAGGTAGATAGATTTTATAGTATTAACAAAATAGATTATTTCAGTTTAGATTAGGGCTTGATATGGTACGCCATAATATTTTTACCATGGGTCATTTTATCGAGTACTAGTTATCATAGTAATTTTTTAATGGGTGATAATGGAGCGGTATCCTCGCTTGCGCTATAGGTATATACTGGCGAGGTCCTATTGAGAGATGATAGGTCAGAATGAAAGGCCAGATAGTCCATTATGATGTATTCAAGAATCCCTCTGGAAGTTCCATCATCATGGATGGTTGCATCTTCTGGAAGCAACCATCGTGGCTTCCAGAGGTAACCGTGTGGAAATCGACCTGATAGGGTATATTCCTAGCAATGGAAATATTAGATCCCATTAGTACAATCTCTTTCCCCCCAGTTGTCATAATTAGCAGGCATAACATTTTAGTCCTCAGGAATGGCAACGCATGAGAACCGTGGGCGTCACAGTATACTCTGTTATGCCCATAGTACTGTTCATGTCTATATGTCACAGTTACCACTTTCCATCAGGTGGGCCGTCAGCTTGTTTACTATTGTAAGTAATAAAAAAAAGTTAATATTGCTTATGGTTGTCAAACTATTCTAAGTACTATAACAACCCATAAAATATCCCACTACTGCTGGGTACACGTTATTAACTGACACCAGAGGGCGCCACTTTGCATTATCTCTCTCTCTCTTATGACATTCTAGAGATGGAGAATGAAAGAACGGTGTCACATAGTATTATTACACCATGGTCATATAGAAATTTTACTAGCTTTATACTGATTACAGTATATTTTGTTTTACAGCCAATGACCGATGACGAGAGACAAGTAATGCTACGCGAGAGAGCGAGAAAGCTGATAGCGGATGCGAGAGCGGGCATTGTTAGGTATGATATCCTTACTAATATTGCAAATAGGAAAGTTAGTTTGTTTGTTATATATATGGACAACCACTGCTGAATATTGGCCTCCTCCAGAGACTGACATAAGGAACGGTCCTGAGCCACCTGCATCCACTGACTCCCTGCAATGCATTTGATATCGTCACTACATTACATAGAGGGGGGTTGTTTTCCACTGCGTTTACTTGTATGGGGTTGCCACTCAAGAACCTTTCATCAATTGGGTGAGTTACAGCAATGGAATTACAGGGTACGGATGCTAAACACCTAAGTGATCTGAAATGGCGACATACGAAGGGTATAATGGGGCCCATAATTTGATGCCTTTAATAAAAAAGCAATTTTCCAAATCGGTTAATAATTGATGGAGTATTAACCCTTAAATACCTGAAGTTACAAATTTGATACCGGTGTTATAAATCGCATTGGGCGCCTACAATCGATTTTATTTTAATATTTAGCTGTTTACATGTTACCAAATGTTTTTTTCAAAATAAATATATAAAAATATCGTTTTGATTTTTTTACTATTTTTCTCTATTAGTAAACATAGTAAAGGGTACACTTATATATTTTATTAATTTAAATTAAAAAATCAGGCTTTTAAGGGTTAAGGTAACAAACATAAAAAATACACCAGAATTGAGGTTTTCCTCTTTTTTTAAATCGGTTGAAAAAAAGTCGATTAAAAATTTACGAATGCTAAATCTTATGAGTGACGTAATGTTGGCAGCCCGTCGTCACCGCTGTCCCCGGGCCGGGGGCGCGCCGGCACCGTCGAGATCATCAGCAAACAGTCCGTCATGGATGAGATCGCAGCCGGTATGTATTACTTACATTATTTATTTATTTAAAGGGACACCAACGGCATATTGCATTATAACATATATAACAAACGTTAAATACAATACTAATGCACATGGCTATTAGATAGATAGATAGATAATTTATTTACATTACTTACAGCACACAAATTACAATAAAAAAAAAAAAAAAACATACACATAATACACAGTAAAAGAGATTTTGTACAAAAGTCGATTGCTTGTGCACCTCTGTCCCATTCGTGTTTCAACCGTGAAGCAGTTGTGTTTGCATGGCTGTGTTTCGGTTTGAAGGGTGGGATATGGCGTAAATTTACACGGTACAGAGGAATAACACCTGAGTCCTCAGGAGTGGCAACGCATGGGGGAAACAGTACACTCTGTTATGTCCATGCTACTGCTCATGTCTGTAGGCGACGGTTACCACTTTCCATCAGGTGGGCCGTCAGCTTGTTTGCCATGCTAAATTGCATTAGTAGTCTAAAATACAGTGATAATCACTAAAATGTTCCCTTTTTCCCTCCATTCCTATGGAAGTTTGTTGGCACGAGTGTTTACAGTTTTTTTTATTCCTAATGCTATGAATCGCTATAATGCAATGTGCAGCGGGCGGCGTGGAGCAGCTGGACGCGCTGCTGGGCCGCCAGGACTCGGTGCAGTCCAGCCCCGCCTCCAGGAACAGTTCCATCAGCCCCGACAGATCTGGTCAGAGTCTAACAGTATTTTTCTTGCATTTTACATAATTTACTTTTTTTTTTAACCCACTCTCAGGCTTTCGACTGTTGCTTGTCAAGAATGTTTTTTAGCTGTCTTTTATATTGTTTATTTTTTACCCGATCACCGAAGTAGGGCGTACCTTTTTTATTTTTTTACATAAAGATATAGTACATTACTGCAGCGGCCAGCAACTAAACATTAATGGACGAACGTGCAAATGTGGGCCGAGGTGTAGCCGAGGCATACATACATAAGCCCATCAGTGCTTAGTTGTGGCCAAGGCTTGTATAGTACTTTTCTCAAACAATGCGCGGAAATCAAAAAACAATTTTACTTTTTAGGTTCAATGACGAAAAACGAACAATAATAATTTTTCACGTTCCATAATGATCCTTTGTTTTTTTTTTTTCAATAAACAGCTTTCTAACTGTAAGCTAGTTCGAAATTTAAATAAAATATTGTATTAGTTACCTCCTTGGTAGCCATGTTTCGAAGTAAAAGGTCATTCCATTTTTAAATTACAGGACAGATATGAGTTTATGTAGTAATTTATCTGACCGCAAAACACGACAGATATGGATTTTCATACAATTTTTGCCGGCCGCTGCCCGCATGTATCTGGCCAGTACGGCAATTTTGATTTATCTCGAAGAAGATTGTCAAAATAATGCTCACATTTCCAATTATGTTTGAGAAAAAATGTGTTAAAGCAGACGATGCTGGGAGCTGCTTAATTAATAAAAAAAATATTCATAATAAAAAAAAACACATCTGTATATCGTTATATGGGTTCAAATCCGGCTTTGACGCTATCTATTGTTTGTGTATTGAAGTTCAATAAATTAATAAATATCCCTAAGCTGATAGTTATTTATAACGTTGATTTCCGCTATTGTACTACATTTTTGTCATTAAAAAGTTTAAATACATTATAGATAGATACTCTTTATTGTTTCCTCCAAAAGATTACAATAGTAAACTTATTATAAATATAAATAATTACAAGAAATAATCACAATGAGAAAACAATGGGCGACCTTATCGCTAAAAGCGATCTCTTGCAGGCAACCTTTGGATGGAGAGGAGTAATTATAAACAGTTTGACTGGAGGCACGAAACTCTGTTCGTTTCTTTAATACATACTGGCGACCCGCCCCGGCTTCGCACGGGTGTAATGCCGTATCGCCATGTCCCTACATTTTAAATCTGTAATATTTTCGGAAATATTCATTTAAATTACATGCTGTAAATAGCCATATTGATCTATATTAAATGGACAATGTATTTAAGGTACTTAATTGGATAAAACTTAATACTGTATTGTTTAAAATCACTTCGTAAATAAGCCATTTTTTCCCGTAAAATTTAAAGGATAAAAAATGGTTATTGTGGGTTATCCTTAAGAGATAGACATATACCATCGCGAACTTTTTTCATTTTCTTTTGTGGACGTCAAAATCTTTAATTATTATAAACAAGTAGCCCGCCCCAGCTTCGCACGGGTGAAATGCTAAAAAATGTGTTTATTTACGACATCACATTAGAAACCTCTAAATTTGTCAGTGTTTCTCTACAATATTATGCATGTATTATACATATAAACCTTCCTCTTGAATCACTCTATCTATTAAACAAAACCCGCTTCAAAATCCGTTGCGTAGTTTTAAAGATTTAAGCATACATAGGGACGGACAGATATTCCTTTTTAAAAGGCCGGCAGCACACCTGCAATGCCGTAGGTATTGTGGGTGACCATGGGCGGCGGTACAAACGAGCATACGGCTCACCTGATGGTAAGTGTACCATCAGGTGAGCCGTATGCTCGTTTGCCCCTGTGTTGTAAAAAAAAAAGACAGCGACAGCGACTTTGTTTTATACTATGTAGTGATTATATGTTCGTTAACGTAAGACCTAATTGTTTGTGGCCAGTAGACGAGAGCCGCAGCTCGCGCAGTGGGTCGGCGTGTTCGGGCCGCCGCTCGCCGCTGCATTCCTTCTCGGCGCTCGTCGACCGCCTCACGCCCGACAACGACCTGCCCGACGAGGTGACGGACCACCCTCTTTGTATATGATGCCAGTGAGAGATGATAGACAGGATACCATTGTATGCAATGAAGCTATAAGTCCTTATTTTTAATACTCATGGAGTGGGTATAAAGGGATTGTTAGTAATGGAGACTAAGAATCTCATTTAACCCCATTAACTCCTAATTTGACCCCATTAATAACAATCCCTTTCCCTCCGGTATCCAGGTGCTTAGGCCCACGGGTGAGGGCAGTACTTCATGAGGGGTCGGATTTGCGACTTGTACAAGTCTAAATTGTGTCAGATCTGGATGTCCTAGGTTTAGCTCGAATATGTTTATTATACACTATATTATTAATATAACAATAAATACTAAATACTACTAGATTTAGTATTTAATATCTCGTATGTGTTTTTATTGTTTTAGGGTCGTGAGACTGGTTCGTACATCCAAAGCGAGTTGGAAGCGCTAGAACGTGAACAAAAGGCGATCGACGAGCGAGCGGCCGCTCTCGAGAAGCAACTGCGGCGGGTGATGGAGTCGGCGGACAACACGGAGGTATGTTGTAGTCTTTAAAAGTATTGATAATGTGAAAGAGATACAAATATAATAATTATGTATGATAGAGCGAGATAGATATACACCTTCACGATATAGGCTCGAAGCTGATCTGGCATTAGTATGAACAAAACAGGTTCTAATTTTTTCACGTTTTGAGTGGATGGTGAGTTGTCATTTAATGTAGTCGGTTAGAATTGTATATATATATATATATCGTATATTTGTAATATAAATTATAAATTACAATAAATACACCATAAAATTGTACATTTTTATACATTTATCTCTTTAAATACAATATAAAAGAACAATCAGAAACATTTTGTACAAAAATTGGTAGAAAAAAATATTTTATTTAAACTAAATAAAATTTTGAATGTCCGCGAATTGAAATTCAAATAATGACTTCAATCCCATATAAATTAAGACCTGTCACGTGCACACATTTACATTACACGCACACTAGTGTAGTGTAACTATTTTCGTTTCGTGTCTGTAATTGTATTGTCAGTCTGTCAGTGTGTGAGTACATTTTATTGTATCTATTGTTGTAGTAGTACAACAATAACTTTTTACATTATTTATTTTTATGAACTGAATTGTTTTTTTTTTTAATTTGAAAGAGCGTCTGAATGTACACTCTTGATGCCATAGTATAATTTTATCAAAATTCATTCAAAAGTTTGACCTTTTCGTACATTTTTTTTTGTAAAACAAAATTTATTTGTTTTTTTGAACTGTAATTATAAAAAACAATTGATATTATAATTTTCTATGACATTTTCCAATTTGAAAGATCTTTTGTGTACGATATCTATGTGGTATATGACCCTTTATATTTTATTTTCTTTCTATTACACTTATAGCAGGTTGCTCAGGACTGTTCTTTATGGCAGTTTATGGGAGAGGCCTACGTTCAGCAGTGGACAGATAATGACTGATATTGATGATGATGATTTTTTTGATGCGTGATAATGGTATGGTAACCCCGCCTGCGCTAACGGGATACGCTGGCGGAGCACCAGTGAAGGGTGATAGATGAGAATGAAAACAGGCCAGTTAGCCCATCATGATGAATTCATCAGGAATCAACTATGATAGTTTCCAGGGGGAACCGCGAGGAGGTCGACCTGGTTGGGTATATTGCTAGCAATAGGATTCTCAGTCTCCATTACTAACAATACCTTTCTCCCCTGATGATGATGATGATTACACTGTTATAGGAATGTATATATGACTAGTTTTAACACCCTTCCTCACTTTCAGAGAGCGTGGCGCGGTGTGTTTCTAGTGTGTGTGAAAAGTCCATACAATCCGGTACCTGCTTCATTCCCATCTTTCCTTACTTATATACATTTGAGCTGTCCACGACAAATACAGTATATATAGCAAGTTTTTAAGATTTTAAGATTTACTACAATCTGTATATTTTTCGTGTTCAACTCAATATAGTTTCCTTTACTTTATTCCTCTATGTATTTGTCAGATTTTTTTTATAATAAATCCAAGCGTCAGACAGAGTGGGCAGAGAGAACCGAATATCGAATCAAAGATCTCAATTCTTATATACGTCTATTGTGTCTATAAACCTTACCATTCTAAGTTTTATAAAAAAAAAACCTATTTAAGATAATTTAGGGTGGTGGTGGGGGGGGGGGAAGAGAGCGTTGGGGGCTGACCTCTTGAAAGAGATTTTTGTTATACTATTATTTTGTTACTTGTAACCCAGGTGAGTTACAACTCACCTGGGTTACAAGTAACAAAATAACTTCAATACTCAATTAAAAATCAAAAATAAATTCAATACTCCACAACACTGGCTTTTTTTTTTTTTCAATCATCCTTTTTTTTTTAATAATATTTTTCCCTTGCAGGAGGAAGACAGACTGATGTCGCAGTGGTTCAACTTGGTCAATAAGAAGAACGCGTTGCTTCGACGGCAGATGCAGCTCAACATACTGTTAGTATATATATCCTGTAACACTATGCTATGAGTCGTGTGAGGGTGCATTGAGACTTATGGGGGATTCAAGGTGTTTACAATAATCTGTCTCTTTCCAAGGCACGTGGTCAAAAAAAAAACCTTGAACTGTTATACTAAATCAATTTCAAGACAATATGAACGGTTTCATAATTATTTTTATATTACAGTCATATAGACATGGCGACAAGCTTTTCATTAACATTAATTCTTTTAATTAACAATTAAACACAAAAGCGGTAGATTAAAAAAAATGCAATGACTATTCAAAAGTGCTTCAATGTAAGTTTATTTGAATAAATGATTTTCTATTCTATTAAGTGAAGCGTAAAGCTATTAATGTTTCAAGTGAAAGTAAAATTATTCTGTCTTAAACGTTTTGTTCAAATTTTAGAATTTTAACTTACTGATAGAATATTGCAGAGAAGTTTGTTGTACATAAGGTTTTTACGAGATACCTTCTGGTATACCGCAAGGTTTAGCACTTGGTCCTGTATTAAATACCATATGGGGGAGACCTATGTCCAGCAGTGGACAGTTAACGGCTGATATGGTGATGATGATGTCGTTTGCTTGGGTACCTCTGTCCCATTCGTGTTTCAAGCAAAAGCAGTTGTGTTTGCATGGCTGTGTTTCGGTTTGAAGGGTGGAATATGGCGTGAATTTACTGGGTACAGAGGAATCACACCTGAGTCCTCAGGAATGGCAACGCATGGGGGGTATCATGGGCGAAACAGTATCTTCTGTTATGTCCATGGTACTGCTCATGTCTATAGGCGACGGTTACCACTTCCCATCAAGTGTGCCGTTAGCTTATTTGCCATTCTAAGTTGTATAAAAAAAAATAAAAAAAAGCGTATATACTGAAAGAAGATTATGTATGAAAATCATAGTCATATTTCTGCCATAAAGCAATTATACTTGAAACAATTTTTCTACAATGTTTCCACCTGGTAACTAATAACTCCCCCCCTCTCCTCTTCATCGTTTAATGATGTTTTCTATCCACCAGCGAGCAAGAGGAGGACCTGAGCCGCCGATGTGAGCTGCTGGCGCGGGAGTTGCGGCTGTCGCTGGGCGTCGACGAGTGGAGGAAGACCCCGGGACAGAAGCGGCGGGAGAGGCTGCTGCTGCAGGTACCCGAGCTTCGTATTGGCGTATTTAAAATAACTACTAATAATACTGTTGGCATGGATAAGGTTCACTTTTTGTTGCAGATGATGACTTGTACATAAGTCGATTGCTTGGGTATCTCTGTCCCATTCGTGTTTCTACCATGAAGCAGTTGTGTTTGCATGGCTGTGTTTCGGTTTGAAGGGTGGGATATGACGTGAATTTACAGGATACAGAGGAATAACATCTGAGTCTTTAGGAATGATAACGCATGGGGAGGTATCGTGGGCGAAACAGTATGTTATGTCCATGGTACTGTTCATGTCTATAGGCGACGGTTACCACTTTCCATCAGGTGGGCCGTCAGCTTGTTTGCCATTCTAAGTTGTATGAAAAAAAAAAACATACGGGCTGTTTGTTTTTAAAAAGCGTATATATTCTCTCAGACATGTCTGTAAAGCTTTGCTCGGATACTGTGGTGGGCACCAGACAACTTTGCAGTGGGCATGATTAAAAAAAAAGAACCATTAGATTTGGTTTACAAAATTTTATTGTTCAAATATATCGTGTAAAATACTGTCATGTAAAGAAAAGGACCTTTTTAGAGAGAAAGAGACGGACGTTGAAGTTGGGTGAATGTTTGTTTTGGTTTTTAAGCCAATTATTTATGGTAGTATTATAATTATTTGCAGGAACTGTTGGCGGCTGTCAACGAACGAGACAGGCTGGTGCAAGAGATGGATGAACAAGAGAAAGCGTATGTATTGGCGTGTTTGAGTTTATTAACAGCTTTGTATAGACATGTGAATTCATATAACGCTTTATTTAATGATGTTGGTATTATGAATGAACGCCCAAGTACTTTTAAAATGTTAATCTCTAAAAGATTCACGTAATTTTTAGCTGTTCTTGTTTACTTAAGCTATTTGTATTATATTTGAATCGAAACTGTGGTAAACGGTGTTGGTGGCAAATTTACTCAATGTTTTCTTTGATTAATATTATGTATTATTCTTTATTTTGTCACTGTTAGTTTTCCCAAATAAATGGAAAATAAAATTAAAAAAAAAAAACAGTCCATCCATATGTTTGTTTCGGCATCACACAAAAACTAATGCACCGAATTGGATACGGTTGTTACAGTTGTGTTCAACCTATCCTATTTCAATATTGAAAGTTAGTCTCCGATTATCTAGTTTAATATAAAAATCAGTAATAAAAATCTTGGAGTCAGATAGAAAATCATTAATCAAGAAATATACATATATAAATAATAATCAAAAAAACAACATACATCCCAAATTCGGACATGGATCACTTAGAAGTCTATCATCATCGTCATCATCATCTCAGCCATTATCCGTCCACTGCTGGATATAAGCCTCCCCCATAGACTGTCATAAAGAACGGTCCGAGCCACCTGCATCCACTGACTCCTTGCAATGCGTTTATATACTAATAAAAATGTATATAATTTGCTTACAGGATAGCCGACGACGACGCAATAGAGCGGAACCTCTCACAAGTGGAGATACAAAGAAAGAACAACTGCATACTGCAGTGAACGACGCCAGTAGACGTTCGTCGGAGCGCGCTAGTAATGCTACGGATTATACTATTGGACGCGATTTGGACAATGCATTTACATTAAACTGCGCAAAGTAGCGGTCGTAAGCCGCGGACGTGACTTTGGCTCAAGGTGCAAATGTGACCTTGGATAGAGAAGCGGACGTGACCTTGAAACAAGTTGCGGACGTGACCTTGAAAAAAATTCGGACGTGACCTTGGATCAAGATGCGGACGCGACCTTGGATCAAGATGCGGACGCGACCTTGGATCAAGATGCGGACGTGACCTTGAAACAATTTGTGGACGTGACTTTGGATCAAGATGCGGACGTGACCTTGGCTCAAGGTGCAAATGTGACCTTAGAGTCGCGGACGTGACCTTGAACCAAGTTGTGGACGTGACCTTGAACCATCTTTGAGCGATCAGACGTCCAACAACGATCTAGCTTAGGCATGGAAATTATTGCAATTTTTAATTTATTATTTTTTATTATCACAATCACATGTGAGCAAAGGATAGGAGTGATCTGCGTCCGCAGTGAATATTAGGTGCCGTTTAAAGTAAAGTTTATGTTAAGCGCACTAAAGTCTCTATTCGTCCGCTCTTTACGGACCAGTGGACGGTTTGCTGCGATTCCATTCCACTCTTAGCTGTAAACAGCCGATGACTTACGAGTGAATCCGAACGCAACACTTAAAGAGCCGACATATTGCGGCCGAACGTCAAAAGAACATTCTTCTATTCGGTTGATAGTTTTCATGGACCATATAGTCCCTGTGTTCGCGTAGATATAGCTGCTATTAAAAAAGTCTAGTCTAATGAAGAGACATAGAAGGAGTAATGTAAAATTTTATGTATCTTATGCTATTTCGCATGTTACTTGTGAAATATTCCAAGCCTAAGCTCGCTAGATGTTTTACACCCCTAAGGAGAGAAAGAGACGGCAGTCTGTCCATCTCGTGTCCATCTGTGACATAGAGACGTCCGATAGTATGTTTGTAGTTAAATACTTTATTGGAAATTCACACTAACGTTTTTGGGGCGTTCAGTTTGTTTGGACTTTTAAAATCGGCGGTTGGGACGCGCTAATACGCAATATGGGTAGTTATATGATTTCTATATGTACGTTCTGTGACTTTGTTCAATATTTTACATATCTAAATGATATAAATATATTACACTATTGTGTTTCTCGATTTAATTGTTAACATATTATTGTATACAATAGGATGTAAAAAAATCCTTTTTTTAAAAAGTCCTAGAGGAAAAGGTATTTGTTTAAGTAGTGATATCTACTTTTTTTGGGGTTTTATAATATATTATTTTTTTAATTTTGTGTTAAACTTGATATTTTATGGATGTGAAATATTCAATGAATCGCAGCGTTTGAAACGCCCAGAAAACGTCCAGTGTGGACACGACATTACAAGCGTAATATTATTTTTAAAATATGTTTTCGGGTACTAATTAAGGCCTGTCATTAAAAAGACGGGTGAAGAGTTGTGGACAGTCCATTAGTATATAAAAAAAAAAAAAAAACTATTATTTTAAATAAAATATATCAATTGAGATGTGAATGGTTATTCAGTGTTTATGCGAACGGTAATATAGTTGTGTATTTGAATTACATTTTCCAAATTTAAATTTTAAGAAAAAAAAATGTGCATGCTTGGAGGGAAAAATAATTAAACGGACACCAGACCCGCGTCACTTCGATCAGTAAAAACGTTTTAATGAAATCTGTGCAACCATTTCATTGCATTTCAATATTACATTATAACGAACGTAACTTACATTATGACGTAACTAGGTTTCTTATGATACCTATCGTGATCAATATTTTGAATAGAGTCATATTATAAGTAGTTGTTTTAATTATTCACCTCTTTTATTATTTTTGACATTTCTTTGTGAAAAGGTTTATTTTCCAATTTCGTTATTATAAGAGCTGTACCGACGCTTAAATAATGTAGTGATTACTTATTCTATGACTAGACTGAATGTGTTATGGCTAATGGTAACCCTGCAAAGCCGAAGAACGAGAAAATGAAAAGAAAAAAAAAGCATAAAGGTGGATATACACATAATGAATATTGTTAAATTTGGGATGCAATTTATTTATGAATAAAAGGTCACACAGACGAAGTCACGAGTAAAAACGAATTCCAGAATTATTTTAAAATTGTGTACTGCATCTGATTCCGTTTAAATATTTTTACCTCCATCTATCGTATTGCTAAACCTAAGTGCGTGCTTTTAAATTTTGCTAAGTTCTCGGCCTGCTGCGAGGCGCGTAATACTCATTGATTCCTATATTTTTTTATTTAATTTCGCGTAATTTTCAGCGTCTTTTGCTGTATTTAGGATAACATGTACGGCTTAAATATATTTGGTATAATACCAAAGAGTCAATTTCAATGTTTTTTTTTTTTAATTGCGCCTTTTAATTGAACGGTGATAAATAAGTACAATATGCCATAGATATTTTTTTTTATACGCGATGCTACCATAGAGTAGCGATTATTTTTTTAAGTAGACTATTCGACAAATTTTTTTTTTTAAATGTAAATATTAGGCAGTATAGTTTTAAAATATTTATTTTGTGTTTTAGTTTAATTTTCTTGCCTTCATACGATACTGGGTTGTGTGTTCGGTTAAAAGTAATTGACCAGTAGTTTGAACATTCTAGACAATTTATATATAGAATTGACTTCATAATTATTAGTATACTTTTCTGGAAGCTACCAGTTCTCCTAGACCGAGATCTGACCGTGTAAAACTCCCTTTATTAGCAAGGCTTATGTTCAATAGTCGACAGTTAAGAGCTGGTATGATGATGATGATGAGACCGGACAAGGATAGGGCCTGAAACGGCTTGGCCAGCAGGTAAATTAAAAAAAATATATTTTTTATGCAACTTAGAATAGCAAACAAAACAACCGCCCACTTGATAGAAAGTGGTAACTGTCGCTTATAGACATATCATGTGTATAGGCGTATCATGTCCATGATAGACAGAGTGTACTGTGTCGCCCATGATATCCTTCATGCGTTGCCATTCCTGAGAACTAAGCTGTTATGCCTCTGTATCCTGTAATCTCATTCAGAAATGCTTATAATTAAGTTTACTTGAATAGAAAATATTTTTTATCTCTTAGCTTTTATTGTCTCATGTTTCTTGGATAAAAAATATTTTTTCTGGTATAAATCTTTATTTTTTATTCTTTATTGTACACAAAACATAATGTTAAACACAATTCATTTTAAACATAATGTACAAAGGCGAGCTTATCTCTAATAAGAGATATCTTCCAGCAAACATTTTCAAGTGAATCGGATGTTATTTTAAAAAAAAATAAAAATAGGCAGTCATATGATTTGCGTAAATTTTTTTTTTGATGGGTGAAAATGGTATGGTAACCCCGCCTGCGCTAACGGGATACGCTGGCGGAGCACCAGTGAAGGGTGATAGATGAGAATGAAAACAGGCCAGTTAGCCCATCATGATGAATTCATTAGGAATTAACCATGATAGTTCCCAGGGGGAACCGCTAGGAGGTCGACCTGGTTGGGTATATTGCTAGCAATGGGATTCTCAGTCTCCATTACTAACAATCCCTTTCCTCCCGATCTGCGTACATCTTATAAAATCTTCCACAAAAGATGCTAATAATTATGAATTTTATCCTGTATAAATATAACTTATCACGTTAAAATGGCTTTATATTATTCGACATTTTATATTTTATTTTATATATTATATTCTAAATTAAATTCCGTGGCAAGATTATTATTTTATTGCAATATATATTGAAATAATTGATAATTTCAACGTTGAGTTCAGTTCGCTGTGTAACCGACGAGACGGTACAATTAAATATTTAAATATATAAAATGAGTCGATAGATTTTGTACTCATTTTCTTTTAAAATTGCAATTTATATCAATAACGCTTTTTAATATTTATTTGAAAGTGAACAATATGATGTAATACTGTTTATTAAATCCAATACGTTAATACAGCGTGTTATAATGTTTACTGTCCTATCATAATTGCTTTTATACAATATTGTCAACATCCTGTATACGTAGATTGACATAAACCATGTAAATTGACTATCTCTCAGAGAATAATATTCGCATGTAGTTAATGATATTTCAAACTCATTGGTTGATTTATTTATTGAATTTTTAAATATTTGAAAATAGAATTAGCAAAGAGAAAAGAAACAAAAAATATACCATTATATTGGTATTTTAAACTTTTCTTTTTGCTAACTAAACGGAGGTCTACCTAGCAATGTTTCTTACATTATCAGCAAAAGGGCCCATCTCTAAAAATCCACTCCCACCTGTATAAAGCAAGTTATATTTCGACTGTATTTACGTATTAAATTCGCGTATACTCGATTAGTTTTAAACTCTGTTCGTTTTTAATTTGGTAAGTAGATTGGTCGTAACTGGAACAGAACGGGACTGAATTGTACCATATATACATATATTGTTTCTAACGTTATGTTTTAAAAGGCCGGTAGCAGACCTGCAATGCCTCTAGTGTTGCTGGTGATCATGGGCAGCGGTAGACACTTACCATCAGGTGGGTCGCATGCTCGTTTGCCCCCTGTGTTATAAAAACAAGTAATAACATTTTTACCAGACTTAGATAGGGCTGAGAAGAAACCGTGGTCCGCATTATATTATGTACCTGGCCTTAGTCATGAATAGCAGTCCTTTTCAATTTGAAACTGATCGGATATTCCTGAAATTAATACGTGAGTATAACCAGACGTAAATAATTGCAATATAGTATGACTCACGATAGTTAATTTTAAACTTATATATTGGTGGAAATGGAAGGTTTGTGTTACATTATATTTGGGAGGTGCTACGTCGTTCAGTTTTGTATTAAGTGAATCGTGTGCAATTAATTTGATATCGTTATACATCTGTAATAATTGCTTACATGTTTTCAGTTTTAGGGGCATATTATACTATAAAATATATAAAAGATCATTTGACGGATGATCTTCATGTCATGTAATATAATAACATGTCATGTTATGTCATGTCATGTCATTATATGTCATGTCATGTCATTATATGTCATTTCATGTTATATTATTAAACTTTGCATGCACTTTTAATGACAGTAAATTACAAAATGGAATTTTATACATGTAATTTGTGTATGACATGTTTGTGTATACATGTACTGTGTATAAAATAAATATACAAAAAGAGATACAAATGTATTTTTAGTGTGTGCAAATATTAATTATTAACGTAATTACTTAATTTATTTGTTTACTTAATAATATAACTGTACAATGAACACATGATGCCATATATATTTGATAATGTGATATTGCCCTTGTAATATTTTTTCCTAAATTTTAAAATTCGTTCATTATAATAGTATTGAATACTAGACAGTACATATGACTTTGCCTACACTAGAATGTATTTTGTTTCTATTGTCGATTATATTCCACCTAGGTTTGGATTTAGTAGCATGATTGAGCTAGCAATTTCAATTTTAATACTAATAATAAATATTAATAAATACCACTGGACATATATAATACGGCGACATTTAGTTCTTAACTAAACAGAGTTTGTACTAAGAGTACTAGATGACTGATAGAAATACATTTTATACAATACTATTCAAGATTTTTTTTTATTGTCAAGAATGCTTATAAAAACACAAGCATGTCAATGATAATTTTGTACTGCACTCATGAAACAACAGTTAGGAATTAGGTTAGAATTGATATCGGTTTGCAATAGTTTGCGTTGGTAGGTTACACTAATATGCATCTGTCAAAATTATCATGTTGCTAGTATTGCAAATCGAGACTGTGATACGTGTCAGTTACAACATGGATCTATTAGAAAATATTTCAAGAACAACATCACAGTTGATGCAATATTTTTATCTGGTTCATGCAGTGTCAACGCAAATGAAGTATAAAAATTAACAAAAGTTTATATTATTTGAATTGACGTTTGAGAAATGCAAATTTTAATATCGACGCTTATTAGAGGCTAGCTGAATTGAGTGGAGGTGATACGGAATATAGACGGAAACCATCATAAAATCGTAGAGCACGTAAAATGTAGTATGTATGTTATTATTATACCAATACAGATTCAAATAAATTTTATAATAATGAAAAGAAAATTTTGATCTCAGGAATTCTTTGCTTTGTCACTTTTTGTAATTTTTTTGGATTCTAGTATGGATAGCAAAATTGGGGCAACACTGCCTAAATATAAACAACAGCACAGTTTGATATGTCAAGATTTAAATTAATCTCTAAAAATTGTTAATCCACGAGATAATTTTTAGAGATATATTTTAAAGTCGGTCCTATCTTTAAAATGTCATTTCCCTATTTCTAGAGTACACAATTTTGGAAATGTATATATTTATATTTATCTCTTAAATATTTGGATATGGGTAATAGAATGACATTTAAGTTTCGTCTTGGATTTTGATTTTGCTTATATGTATTTTAAAACAATATAAGTTGTACATTAAATTTAAAATTCGATAAATTATTTCTTAATCAAATCAATTTGTAACTATAGCTTGCAAGAGACCCAAAGGGGATTTTACAAATCCATCGTAACAACCGAAGTACATTTTACAAATTTATTCTTACAATTATTTGTAATAGTAACTTTTGTAAGTGAATTTTACAAATTGATACAGTATTTAGCTTGTTGTTGCCTCCACATTTTCTATTTTATCTTTAATAATGAATCATGTACTATATTTATTAACATGACATGTTAGCGAAACACATGTAGTTCAGTGCAAAACATGTACACATATGCCATAATTGTCTGTATTCATTGTAATGACGCTATTTAAAATATGGAAATAAAATAATATTGTAAATTATATTCTAGTTTTATTGAAATTCTCCTACTCTAAAATTCTATTAATGGTAAAAATAGTTCATCATAAAGGCGTCATTCAATATTTTATAAATTAAGGAGAATTGTTCAAGATGATGTCCACGGCCATCTTCTACCATCGATATGGAGTTCACTCCCATACCTTAGTGCTTAGATGGTCGTGTACAGCGCGGTCTCAGAGTTGTTTTCTCTCACGAACACTCAGGTTATGGAATGAGGTTTTTCCAAGAGACTACAGCATGAGGTTTTTAGAAAAAGGTATAAAAAGGTTTCTTCAGAGTCAGCAACGTGCGCGTAGTGCCCCTGGTTTTGCAACCGTTTATTGGCTATGGTTACCATCAGGTGGGCTATATGCGTATTTGCGAGCTCAGTGATAGAAAAAAAAGATTCCCAAATTGTTTTTTGTGTGAATTTTGCTTGATATCTTCATTCAGTTAAAAACAATTTATTTTTTTATTCCTTTCTTACTTTTGTACTGTTACCTTTATACTGAAAGGACTCTATAAATAATGACCATGGGTACCGCTTTCCCTCGTGAATCTGTTGCCAAGCAGCTGTTTTTGCATGGCTGTGCTTGCATGGTATGGGATATGACAGTGAAATTAACATATTATTTCTCAGAAATAGCAACATACGTGAGATATCACGGGCAACCCGTGACTATCGTAATAGGCGATTAAGGTGATTTAAAAGATTGAGGGATGGGCAGCAGCTTCCATCTTAAAATACCACCGAATCCTAACTTCGGCCTGCCAAGCGTGGCAACTACTGGCAAAACCCCCCCAATAGGGGAGGCCTATGTTCAGCAGTGGACAGTAAACGTGTAATATGGTACGGTAATACTTATAATAGAGTTTAAATAAGACAAAATATTTTCATATAATGTTTTTTTTTTATTGATTATTTCGTTGTATAAGCAACTATAATTATATGATAATTCTCAAACTTAATATAACAATTAAACTTGTTAACGAATTAATGGAAGAACTTGATAATCAATGATATTAAATGATTACATATAATATTACCACACCATACAATGGTGTGGTAAATATATTCATTAGCTGAGATTCCTATAACTTAATCATCGATGACGTCACAAGATTGGGGACACCCCTATACCAAAATATTGTATTGTTACATATTATATGTGTATAGGCGACGGTCACCACTTTCCATCAGGTGGGCCGTCAGCTTGTTTGCCATTCTAAGTTGTATACAAAAAAATATATATATTTTTCCTTAATGGGATGAAAATGGAATCGTAACCTGTCTGCGGTATCGGTACACGTTGTCGGGGTATTTTTTTTTTTATAGGTGAGAATGGAATGGTATCCCTACCCGTGCTATCGGTATACACCGGCGGGGCACCAGTGAAGGATGATAGGTGAGGATGAAGCAGGTCAGTTAGCCCATCGTGACGAATTCAACAAGAATTGTTCATGATGGTTTCTAGGGGGAACCACGTGGAGGTCGACCTAATAGGGCATATTGCTAGCAATGTGCCTTATTAGGTCGACCAAATTTCCATCGTCTTACTAATACCGACACCAGAGTCTCACAAAGATTGTTTTAAATTATAACCTCTATAGCTGTAAGTTTCATTATATTGCTATTTTGTGGGAGAAATAAAAATATTAACATTAAAAAAAAATTGTAGAGGGGTCTTAATAAGAGCAACAGAAGTCAAAACAACAATGTCTGTATGTTTGTTCCAGCATCATACAAAAACTACTACACCAAATTTAATGTGGTTTAGGTACACACTTGTATTCCTAAAGGTCTAACTTAAAGTCTGGTATATTTATCTCGATGCGCCATCTATAAGTGGCTTATTTCTTTCTTCTTTTGAAATCTACGCAAATGAAGTGGCAGGCAAAAAGCTAATAGAAAACAAAATGAAATACTGCAATTGAAGTCTAAAGATGTTATTATAATTGTAGCTAAATCACTAGCAATGATTTACAATACCATTGCGTATAATGGGCGCCACCCATAGTTGCTAACACATCTCCTTGTGACGTCAAATGTAAAATTATAATACGATAATATCAGTTGAGTAAAAAGTAATTAATTATATACTATAATATATAATAAAAAATATATTAATACTGCATTTAATGTTATAATATCTGGAAAAATGTCAAAAAACTACTCGTTTAGTATGCTAAAAAATGTTATTAATGTGATCACCTACTGTATTTGATTTGTCGAACTTGACGATTTGGTCATATACAAAAATTCTTATATTAATTATTATATAACTGGCGCGACATTATGCAAGATAGAACTTAAATACATTGCGGCGTTCTGGCCTAATTAACATAATATTTTCCATGCATATTTTATAAATCTGTTAATTTTATTATCAATTAAAAATAATTAATTAAAGATTTTGCCCCACAAAAGAAAAACCTACTTTAATTGTGACAAAACCAGTTATTTTGATTTAAACACCCAAAATACTGAAACGATTTTGTTAAAATCTCTATGGTCTACAATCTGTAAATATATTTATTCAGTTAAAAAAAGAATTATCCAAATCGGTTTTTAACTGACGGGGCTATGAGGTAATAAACATAAAGTGTAACCGAATTGAAAATCTCTATCTTTTGTAGTCGATTGAAAATGTAATCATTGGCGTGAATTTACAGACATTCTGTTATTCATCATCAGCCATAATGGCTCAGTATCAATTTTTGGTTCATCATTCTCAGAAATTTAATAGCATGGTCATTAGGCATGGGTAACATCTGTATCGCTTCAATATCTATATACTGGATCTCCTTTGGATATTGAGGGCGAATAAAGGTCCTCGCCTATTGTAATATCATCCATATCAGTCGGATATCTATACTTATTTCGATACTATATATTGATTGACTGATATTGGGGCAATATATAGATATTGCAACTATATATTACCCACACCTAATAAAGAAAACAAAAATCGTTTTTCTCTTGTATCGTAATATGCAGACTGTTTCTATCTTGCATCGCTCTATATTTATATGTGTAATACTTTATATAGAAGCACTTGGGGCTTAATTTACCATGTACATTCTAGTGTTACTTATATTTTAGAAAGACCATAAATTGGCCGGAAAACTTCGAATGGAAGTTATATTTTTTTTATATAGAAAAACCATATTCGTATGGTTGAAACATTTTTCTGACCAGCAGATAAATTATTATTTTACAATTTTTTTTTCTAACCTCTTCGCATTTCGAATTCAGATCTCTATGGATTTGAACCATAGATGTAGTATAACGTACGCGTTTTGCAATATTATTTACAATACAATAAGTCAACTTTAAAAGTTATATTTGATAACTTTTAAATTTTTACATACTCTTTTATTCGTTAAGAAGTTAGGAATTACTTAATAGGATTCTAAAGTTAGTTTCGATTCGAGTTATTCATGTTTAAAAATTCACTTGAAAGTATTAAATTACTTATGACGAGATTTAATATAGTCGAGCACTGTTTATAGGATATAACATTTAGTAAATAAATTTCTAAATACAAATGAAATTCATTGGATAAATTAAAGTGAATACTTTTATGCTCTGTTGACTGTCAAACGGCTTGAATCAATAAGAGTTGGCTAATATCCGATATCTATATATTGAGTTCTTCTGAACACCGATGACCATCCATTGCGATATCGCCCATACTAGTCGGATATCTATATTCATTATGAGCGGGTTCTTCTTTTCGATGTAATATATTGGATTACCGATACCTAATATATCTGTTATTGGGCTAATATATGTATAGATATTGTAACTACAATATATTGATATCGCAATATAGTTCCCACACTTAGAGTCAATAGACAGAACATTGTTACTAGTTACATTTAGAGAATATTTCTGTGATGATTTTAATAAAATTTGGTCTCATTTTCATCAATTTATATCGAAATAGACTTAATGAAAAGTAAACTAAATTTAATATCGTGTAAACGGTACTTGACTGAACATAAATACGGTCTCGTCGCCGTCTCGTTCACGTTTGTACTCGTGCAGCGGTCGTGTCGTTGTCGTTACGTTCTCGTGTGATTGTTCGCGGTGACCGGCGGCGCGGCCTCTGCTTCCTCGGCTGCCGCCTCTGCTTTTAGTTTACGATATTTACCTGGAATTATGTAAATTGACATTTCATTATAAAGTTTACATCGTACACTTCTTAAAGTAGTCTAGAAGTGAGGAAGAGAAAATTACAGTGTTTATTATTATTATGAAGTATATTACTATTGGTTATTTAGCGTCAATAAGTCCTAAAATATCTACCAAGGGATACTATGTCGAATTTAAATGCTTATATTTTTATTTTAAAATTTTCAAAAGAGGAAGAGGAAGACCGAGGAATAACTACATGGGACAGATAAAAGAAACACTAGGTGTCATGTCGTATAGGGAGATAAAGGATATGGCCTGGGATAGAGCTGGCTGGAAAAAGATGCATGAATTAGTTGCACCGACAAGAGGAAACTGTTAAATGAAAAGAAGATATTTTCATATTTTTTTATTATTTCAGCCGTTAAATGTCCACTGCTGAACATAAGCCTTCCCCATAACGGGAGTTTTGCCAATAGTTGCCAAGCTTGGCAGACGGGTTGGCAACTGTAGTTAGGGTCCCAGAGATGTTTTAAGAGGGCGTGCTGCTGCCCAGCCCTCGACCGTCCTTAGTCGACTCTTAGCACATTCACGGGAAAGGAAGGGGTGGCCTATTCTACGCCGGGACCACACGGCATTTTTTATTCACACATATATTTGCATATATTTAAGAAATACTCGTATTTTACAATGAGAATCTACATTCTGATATATCAGTAGTTTAAAATAAAGAATTTGTTAGTACTAATGAATTGATTATATATTTTTTTTATTTCAAGAAATTCAAGGGAAAACTAATTATTAACTTAATTAAACTATAAGGCGAATTCTAGTTACTGTGACCAAATGAATAAGCAATTAAATTGAAACGATCTCATGACCTAATCAAAATATATTTGAAGATGTATTGGAAGTCCCACGTTGGGCACCAATTAAATATGGCGCCAAGATCAAGATTTATTGATTTGAATCTAATAACTTCATCACTTACGCGCTACTTTAACGAAGATCACGCCCCACCAGATGGACCATCCCCAGCCCACCAGGCAGAACAGTACCGTGAATAGTTGTCCGCAGCCAACCAGTAAGTTTATCAAAAAGGAGCCTGACAACAAAATAAATATTACTTTTATTAAAAAAAATACACCAATCGATGGCACTTTGTCACATTGTCCTTCTTCTGATTGAAATTTTTTTTCTATAGCACTGAGGTGGCAAGCAAGCATACGGCCCACCTGATGGTAAGTGGTTACCGTAGCCTATGAACACCTGCAATATCAGAGGCATTACGCGTGCGTTGCCGACCCTGAAGAAACCTCTTTACACCCCTTTTGAAGAACCCCAAGCTGTAGGCTCTTGGGAAAACCTCGGCAGGGAGCTCATTCCATAACCTGAGTGTTCGTCGGTGAAATGGTTTGAAATAATGGTAACTTCATTATATGGCAGTTCGTGCGATTGATGCTTCTGGTAGTGTTCTTACATCATTATACTCGTAATTACAATACTATCTTCTAATTACCATAATAATCCCCTCTTTAAGTATGTGTTTGGGAGAAACAGAAAAAAACCTTTCTACCAATATCCTTATTTAGATTAAACGCTTGGATTAATTTACAAATAATTGCTGGATAATTTCTGATATAGAAACAAGGTGTGAAAAGAAACATCATACAACTTACCTATCCTGTGTTTTGCTCCGTCGTGAACACCGAATCTGGGTATTCCGAAACACAAGCAGAACATGCCGCTAAATATTGTACCTGCAAGTAAAATATTGTTTTAATTATTAATTAGGGATATACTTACGTTTTAAATTTGTATATGTCCGACTAGTTTCGAACTCAATGGGAGCCCTTATTTATGAGCGTGGTTCAAGGCTGTGTCACGAGTAGCATGAATAAAATTTTATTGTTATTGGTAGAGTAAAATCGAAGTTCGGTAGTTGGAAAACATTTTGCTGGAAAAGATAACCTACCTATTTAAATTTTACTACATTATTTCATTGTCATTGTACTACACTGAAACACTGCCAATTATTATTCAATTGTATAGATTTTTTAACCTAATATTAATTGAATTTTTTTTTGTTTTTATTTAATATTTATAATGACTTATCAAAATCAGACCGCTATCGCCGACTGTAGCCATATTACAAATTTTACTTTTTTAAGTTATACATTTAGATTTATTCTTTTGGAATTAGTCAGAAATCCTAATATATTCATTATTCACATATGTGTGTATTATTTAAGTCTTTAACTATGTTAATAATTGATAGAATTTGAATAGAGGAAATTATATGACAATAAGTTTAGAAGTAACATTAAAATAATTTGGGTAGGCATAATAGGATTAGTTTGATATGAGTTTCTGGACATATTGGGATTAAAGGTAATGAAAGGGCCGATGAGTTGGCGTGAAAGGGATCAGAATCAAAAATGATAGGTCCCGAACCATATGTTGCACTTGCATCAAGTGTTGTTAACTTTGCCCTTGAGGAGTATGTGAGGAAAAAACAGCTAAAGGAATGGAGGACTTTGAAGAGTCTTAAACATTCTAAAAAGTTCTTAAATGACAATGTTGAAGGATGGATAAAGTCATCTACAGCGGTGGCAGACAACAGGCTCTGTCTTCGGACACACTGTGCAGACTGTGCGGGGAGAGATCGGAATCCATGGAACACTTGATGTGCAACTGTGACTCGTTAGCGAGCAGGCGCATGAGTCTACTGGGAACGGCTTATCCAGAGCCAGGGACTACAGATATCTTAAGCCGCGGGATATCGTTAAGGTAACACATAGGATCTATAAAATGATGGTAAAAGGCAGGGGGAAGCACAAAAGATCCCGATGGGTCGACGTGCAACGGCTTAGCTGACCCCATATGCGAATGTAACATAACATTAAAAACAAACAAGTATAATCGAGAGCCTTCTTCTTTATGAGGTCTGTTAATTACTAACCAAGTCCTGGGACGATGATGTTACAGAAGAGACAGAAGTAGGCGAGCACCGTCGGCAGCACGGGTATGGCGCCTCGCATCACGCTCGTGTGTTCTATTAGAGACGTGTCTAATTTCTTGCGTGTATCCTATAAAGAAGAAAATTAACGGTTATCAAAATTCTAAAAGACTACCGACTAAACTGTCTTTCAAAAAAAAAAACGTTCACGCTCACTTTTTTACTTTATCCGAGCAGTAAGTGCTTTATATTGTTCTCAATTTCGTGTATAATATAGTATATGTCATATATGTGTAAATATATTTGTTATTCATATATATTTATTCGTTTATATACGTAATTTTAGTATGTATGTATATCAATAATTAGTAGTACCGCATTCGAGTATTCTGACACTTCCCTATGGTTGACTGGGAGAGAATGCTTTTAGCATTAAGTCCGCCATGTACACATATTTGTACTAATGAATAAATAAATAAAATAAAATACATGATCGGGATTGCCTGATCAGCAAATTATCATTATGTCAATTTGGAATATACCTTTTCTTTTATATACATATAATTTTATATATAATACCCGTCCACTATGTACTTATTATTATAACAGATTGTCATTTGTTAATCTTTGTCGGGTGCCCACGATACAGGTTCATCCAGTGTGGGGCCCATTGTACCTTGTGTTTGTAGCTTTGTGTTTTTATCAAATAATAAAATTTCTTTTCCTATTTTTATTATTAATTTAAATAACTTTAATGGCCGAAGAAAATTTTATGGTACAAAAGGCGGAATTAATGCTAGTAGCATTCTCTATTAGTCAACCTTTGGGATGAACAGTGAATCACAATAAAACGCAATACTTCATTATTAGGATAGGTAATTCGATAGATAGATGATTCGTCTTCATTGTGTTCTCGGATTTGCAGAATGCAACCATTTAATGTCTACCCTATAAGGTCGATATCCATGTAGCCACTCATAGAAACCATCATCATCTTCCTACCCTTATCCCAATTATCATTTGGGGTCAGCGTAATATGGTTTTATCCATATTACAAAAAGATTTGGCTTTTAGTTTTACGACCGGCTGCCTCACGTCAACCCTCTTTGGGAACTCTCATAGAAACCATTGTGGTTAATTTCGAATAAATTCATCACAATGGATTGACTGACCTGACTTCATCCCTCACTGGTACCCCACTAGCATATACCATCAGTATATCAAAAAATCATCATTCCATTTTCACTCCATAATTATTTTAATTTAGATATGTAATTTATTTATGTTAATCAATTTCTTTACTCTTGACCAGGCTGATGTTGATTGATCAGGATAAAGTCTAATAAAGATCTAGTCTATATCCTTCTCCATCCCAAATACTATATATATATATATATATATATATATATATATATATATATCAAATTTCATGACGATTGGCTCAGCCGTTAAGATGCAATTAACAAATGCACTTGCACATTTATAATGTTAGTAAGGATAGATAGAATCATTATCATAATCATCAGAATATCAGTCTCTAATTGTCCACTGCCAGTAGTTGCCACGCTTGATAGGCGGATTGGTAACCGCAGTTAGGTTTTGGAGTTGTTTTTAGAAGGACGTTGCTGCCCATCTCTTGCTCTACCTTAGTCAGTCTTACGACATCCACGGGAAAGGAAGGGGTGGTCTATTTTATGCCGGGACTACACAGATAGATAAAATATTAATAAGGGTAGAATCGATCTTCTATGGCATTAGAAATACAGCCAGCATTGAAGCATTTAATTGGTAGATAATTTCAAATAGTTTGTAGTTGAAAAATAAATAATCACTTAAAATTTCCAAATTAATCAAGGAGTGCATTACACTTTACCTACCCACTTTACATTTCCACCTACCTCTACATCTTCTTCCAAGTCAGTGTCACGCTTCATGAAATCAGTTGTGATTAACACTTTCGACTTCCTCGAGGGTTGTGGGGAAGGTGCGGGAGGAACTTGTAATGTGGTCGACATTTTTAGATTTTTATTTTTAATCTATATTACTATCTAGTTTTTTTTTACTTTTAAATTTCAAAGTATATTTATTTATATTTAGAAAATTATATTTTTGTTAAATACTTTGATAGTTTTTCTATTTATTTTCAGATTGAAACATTAAAATTATTAAATAATACAGGAACGAAGACTAAATAATAAATATGGAAAAAATAAAATAGTTTTAATATTTTGTTTTAACTGTTTCAGATTTAATTTACTTAAACTGTCGAAAATATAAGAGCAAAGGATCCACTGCACAGGTTTATATTTCTTTTTTTTTTACAATTTATCAATTATCAATTTCTACTAATTCCGAGTAGTTTTCGCTATAAACTCAGGGGAGGTACTAACAAAAATCGCCAACTTAGTTCCTCATTTAGAAATTGAATGTTATTGATTGTAGAAACCCATTGTAGTTGTTAAAATACGGCGACCTTCATTAAACCAACGTATTTTATATGAGAAGCAAGGAAAGTTTTAATTTAAATAAATGATCATAATCGTGTCGAAGGAAAAAGTACCCTTCTCACGCAAAGAGCACTAAGCATTATGTATAAAAAATATGTATTCGTGTTGACAAGTTCGCATGATTTCTGCAACGTTATGCATATTGCAATATGGTCTGCTTGGTCCCACGTTGGGCGCCAATACAAACAACTGTTTATACGTATGTCGGCGAATGGCAATGTAATATTTGTTGCTTTCACTTTGGGAGTGATTTTAAACACGATAGATTAGTCCCACGTTGGGCGCCAATATAAACATTTGTTTGTCTATGTTTAGGGATGCTCTTTGTTACGTTCACTTTGGGTGTCATATTTTTTATTTTTTTTACGCATCATAGAGTGACAAAGGATCTGAAGACTCACTCTGTGGAAAGTGGTAAACATTGGCTATTGGGTGGAAACCTCTTGGCGTGTTTTGCCAGTAGTTGCTACGCTGAGCAAGCGGATTGGCAACTGCAGTTAGATTTTAGAGATGTTTGAAGAGGGACGCTGCTGACTATTGCTCGTCCTCCTTAGTCGCCTCTTACGAAACCCACGAGAAAAGAAGGGGTGGCCTATTTTTGCGGGAACGTTCGGCCAGCTTAGTAATATTTGTAATTAATTCATTATTATTATTTCCAAGCACTAAATTAAAATTGTATAAAAATTATAATTTCATGTTAGCAGCCAGACAATTAGTTGAATCACAAAATTAGATGATATACCATTCGTCGGTAGCTACGAAGGTCAGAAGGCGATAACAATTTGGTGACCAGTGTTTAGTGTAGTGTTTGCACGCAAGCTTTGACATTATATATATATATATATTTTTATATATACACAGTTATACATACGGATATATGTCTGTACGTTGATATATAATGTTGGTAGTAATTGAAGACATGAATAGATGGATTTACATGCATTGATCGAGGTATTATGTACATACTAATAACTATACGTTTTAGTAATAAATTGTAAGTATAAGTTATGATAGTCTGCAAGGTACTACATCTTCTAACACCTACATATACTCATAGAATAGCAAATTTCCGAAAATGCTGCGTATTTATTCCTATATTACCATATATAGATAGAGCATCGAGTCTCAAAAATGAGTCAACTTCTTGTCAGCTAATTGTCAAATTAGCTGACTCGTTTTTTTAACAGTGTTCTATATACTTATGCATAAAACGTATTTTGACGTATTATTTAATAAATAAAATAAATATTTACTTATTAAAAAGACACATAAATTATAAGATAAATATAGAAATTATAAATGAATCACTCATAATTATTTATCAAGCAAAATTGTATGAAAAAGTTGACTGGCTTTTCTTAAAGCATTTCTATGGAGACTCTCTATATAATGTAAGAACCAAGAAAGAAGAAGAAAGACAATTGGATAGAAATACAGTAACGTCTTCAATATTGGCCATTATTTGTAAATGAATATTGAGTTTGTAATGGGTATTAACATCGTATAGTATGTGTGACTGCCAACATGAAATTTATTCGGAATTTGGATGACGAACGAGCAGCGATTTAATAATTTGTCTGAAGATACTTCGTTTAGAGGTGAATCACGTATCCTAAAACATGCGTGAACAAAATGGCAGTCAGATTCATGGCCAATATGGAAGGTTGTGGAACATCTGGTAGTGAGAGGGGTAGTTAATCTTCAATCAGTTGTCGTGTATTCACGGCATCGAATAAGCTACCCCTTCCTTCTCTGTGGGCGTGATTATAGGCAACTAAGGGTACTTAACAGCAGCGTTCCTCATAAAACATTACCAAAGGCTAACTGCGGTTGCCAGCCCGCGTACCAAGCGTAGCAACCACTAGCAAAAGTCCCCCAATGGTAAACTGCGATTAGGAGTCCCTCATGACACTCTATGTTCATCAGTGGACATATTACGGCTGACATGATGATGATGACAGTCTTAAAATGATACTAACGACTTTGATTTCACCTTGTACATGGTATAAGAGTGATTTTTTTTTATACTACAAAAGTCGGCGACACCAGGGATATCACGTTCACGTTGTCGATCCTAAGGATATTTTTAGCCTCTTTTGAAGAACTGTATACTGTAGTCTCTATGCAAAACCTTGGCAGGTAGCTCATTTAACAATAAGAGTGTTCGTTGGAGGATACTCCTCTGAAACTTTACTGTATGTGACCATTTAGGTTCAAGCATGAATGAATTTCCTGTCGATGGCGAGCGGTGCGATGATAAAAGGTGGCTGTGGGCATCATTGCAAACAATACCTCAGAACATTTTATACAAGCGACAGAACATACAAAGGGAGGCAGTCTAGCCTTAGATTCAAGAGTTCGATACTACCTTTGAGCTCGGAATCAATCACTGTATTCTTATTTCGTCACCAAACGATGTTATCACTTTATATATAAAATTATATATATAACACCACATTAATTAAATTCCACAATATATTCACGCTAATGTTATTTGCCGTATATTTAATTGCTAAGTTATTATTATGTATGTAACTGTAACTCGCGTGTTACGTAGGCACTCGAAACGTTTATAAAATATATGTAAATTTTTTTATAGTCATACATTATTTGACGTCATTTTGCAAATGAACTAATGACGTTAATTTTAATATGTACTGTGATGCGTGTTATATATAATTATTTGAATTATAATTAATTTCATATCTAATATAGAATAATGGGTATATTGTGGACTAGTTTTCATTCGTGACTTCGTCTGCATCTATGAAGATCTTGAATATGCTAACACACTGAGATAATTAAACGGATACTTCAAAAAGAAGATTCATAATTGATTGTATTTTTTTTTGTGTTTGTTGAACCATAAATTAGCCTGTTGTAAACCGATTTGGAAAATTATTTTTTTATTTAAATGAATATATTAATACATTGTTTCCATAGAAATTATATCGAAATCGATTCAGTAGTTTAGTTTTTAATTCAAAATAAACGGTTATGCCACAATTGAAGTCGGTTTTTTGTGGAAAGTCGCCTGCTTGGGTACCTTTGTCCCATTCGTGTTTCAACCGTGAAGCAGTTGTGTTTGCATGGCTGTGTTTCGGTTTGAAGGGTGGGATATGCCGTCAATTTACAAGGTACAGAGGAATAACACCTGAGTCCTCAGGAATGGCAACGCATGGGGGGTATCATGGGCGAAACAGTACACTCTGTTATGTCCATGGTACTGCTCATGTCTATAGGCGACGGTTACCACTTTCCATCAGGTGTGCCGTCAGCTTGTTTGCCATTCTAAGTTGAATAAATAAATATATATATATATAAGGTATTAAAAATAACAAATATTATTTCTTTTTATAATCTTTTTTTTTTTGTTCAATACCAATGTACAATAAAGCTTATACAAACAAACATGTACAGTATTTATAATTGTATGTCACTCCTACTTCTACTTTACTGTACCTACTAATTTTTAACTATAATTTTTTCAGCCAAAATTCACAATAAACTGAGGGCGTCATTAACTGCCGGCAGTGTCACGCCAGCTCTGTTTGTAGCGAGGTGCAATTACAATCATTTCTACTGGTTCGTGCCATTTTAATTGTATTGTTGAAACAAAAGTTAGACATTATTAGTTGCTAGAGATATACCCGACGAGAAATGACAACGGCAACTTTTGCGTAAATTCGTGGAACGGAATCCTTATTAAGAGTGGCAATACGAGTATATAGCAATATCTAATATATAAAATTCTCGTGTCACGGTGTTTGTTACCAAACTCCTCCGAAACGGCTTTACCGATATTTATGGAATTTTGTGTGCATATTGGCCAGGTCTGAGAATCGGCCAACCTCTATTTTTCATACCCCTCAATGATAAGGGTGACCCAGCCCAAAATATTTTTTTTTTTATATTTTTGACTAAATTTTTTATTTTTATTTTATTATAATTTAGCATTGAAAAATACAGACAACTTTAAATTTTCATCGTTTAACGATCAACCACTGTATTTTAATTGTGATTTTTGTATTTCGCAATAAGTGGTAAAACAACGTTTACGGGGTCAGCTAGTATATATATAAATATATGTATATAAATATACTTTAGTTACAATATCTATATATTTGCCAAATAACTAATATATTAATGTCTGTTATGCAAAAAAATAATATAAATTGGATAAATTGGATATGGGCGATATCGAAATGGGCAATGACCTTTTCTCCGCCATCAATGTACAGAGGTACAGAGGAGGAGGAAAAATATATCGATTTGGTGTCTATTTACTCATTACTACTTCTTACTATCCTTCTACTATTATAAATGGGAAACTTGTTAATGTTTGTTACTATTTAACACAAAAAATGACTGAACAAATTTGAATGAAATTTGGTATATGATAAGGTTATATTTTAACTTAATACATACTTTACATATTGAGATGTATACATTTTACAACTTAACATATAAAAATTCCATATTATAATATTTGTTCACGTTAACTTCTGAAACTGTTCAAATGAAATTAATACACTTTTGTAAATGTATTTTACATGTGAGGACTTATTTTCTGTTTCCATCTATCGTTATATACCTATGTATCACAAAATGAAAAAATGAAATGTATCGTCTCACCTCTGGCGGTAGTGTGGGCGAGAGGCTCTTGTTCTTGGAGAACATGCTGGTGCGACGGCTGGAAGACTGCTCGGAGTGTCGACGGCACGCGCCGCGCACCCACGTGCACATGCGTGTGCAGCAGCTGTTCAAAATTAAAGGTAGGAGTGTGTTAATAGTGGAGATTGCTTTTTTTTTAATGGATGATAATGGAATTGTAACCCCGCCTGCGTTAACGGTATACGTCGGCGGGGCACCAGTGAGGGATGATAGGTGAGGATGAAAAGGCAGGTCAGTTAGCCCATCGTGACGAATTTCACTAGAAATATAGTGAACTATAGAACTATAGTGATGAATTAATTTGGGATGGATAGAACACGATAGTTTCTAGGGGAACCGCGAGGAGGTCGACCTGACAGTGTGTATTGCTAACAATCGGGCTACTAATCCCCATTTTTAACAATTCGTTATCCCCCCTAGTCGAGACTGTTGGCACTTAGTGGAACTTTGTATTTTTATGAAAACACTTCCATTCTTTCATAAATGTTCTTACTCGCTAGCGAGACCATGAGACGGAATGAAACAAATGCTGTCTTTTTCTAACTCGTGAACTCGTTTCAGAAAATTTTGTTTCCTAAATTGGCCCGACTGGGAATCGAACCTAGTATCTCATTTTTGAACATTTCTGTAAATTATTGATGCCCATTAATTCTTCTCTTTCCGCGTCTAGGGAAAGTAGATAAAGTTTTGTTTGAGAAATCAGTTCAGGGTACAATAGGATTGATATACCTGAAGAAGGTAAAAGCCCTTAAAATAATATTAAAAAAATATATATATAAAGCAACGTGCTCGCAACGGAGCTCGTCATTGTTAAATCTGGCAACTTACTTGGCTGGAGGTCTGTCACTTAATATGCTGTCTCTCCTTTCGATCTCGTGCCTCCTTTTCCCGCAGCATCCAGTGCTGACGACTTCAGGTGAGGCCGCCACCTCCGCGACGTTCCTCGCCGCGACGTCTGAAACGTCGCTGACGCGTCTCTTGCGGCCGCAACACCCGCACAATACGTCGCGGAATTTACGCTTGCGTTTCGTTTCGCTCTCGAACTGTATGGTTGCCGCCTGTTCAGAATAGATAAACAGATAGATAGATACTTTTTAATGGTGGAGAAATGGACAGCAGCGTCCCTCTTAAAACATTACCAGCTTAAAACAAAAGTCAAACTGCGGTTGCCGACCCGCCTGCCAAGCGTGGCAACTACTGGCAAAACCCCTCTTATGGGGGAGGCTATGTTCAGCAGTGGACAGTTAACGGCTGGTATAATACAATATTCATACACAGTCGGTATTTTTTAAAAGAGAAAATGAAATGGTAACCTCGCCTGCGCTATCGGTATACGCTGGCGTGGCACCAGTGAAAGATGACACGTGAGCTATAAAGGCAGGTCAGTTAGCCCATCATGATGAATTGAACTAGAATTAATTTAACTCTTCGACATCACTATATCAGCCGTTATCTGTCTACTACTCAACATAGGCTTTCCTCTATTGGGGGGTTTACCGAGTAGTTCCCAATTTCAACGCTTTTACTTAGACTCTTTTGTTTGATTAATATGTGTATATATATATATATATATACATATATATATATATATATATATATATATATATATATATATATATATATTTTTAATTTGCAAAAGGTGCTTTTTTAATTATACAGCACTATCATACCTACTTGTACAACAATTAGGCCATTACCTTAAGGTTGTCTTGAAAAGATTGCTCTCAGCAACAAGACCGCCTTACTGTACTTATACAACTGTATCGTTGTGTTTATAAATTGCCTTGCTTATTTCCTATATTGTATAATGCAAATAAAGTATACTCATTCATTCATTAAATTTTTCTTAAACAACTTTCATCTACAGACATCGAGTTACAATTTTATAATCATCATCATCATCATGATATTAGCTTTTAACTGTCCACTGCTGAACATAAGCCTACCCCTTGGGGGGTTTTGCCAGCAGTTGCCACGCTCGGCAACCGCAGTCAGGCTTTAGAGATGTTTTAAGAGGCACGCTGTTGCCCATCCTTCGCCGTTCCTTAGTCGCCTCTTACGACACCCAAGGGATCCTATCCCTTGGGTGTCTTATAGGGGTGGCCTATTCTACGACGGGACCACACGGCCCATTTTATTACGAGTATATGAGTAAGTATTAAATCGTTGCATCACCACAAAAGTGTAGAAGGTAGGTAACAAATATTTAAATATAAGACTGACGTTTAGGAATTTAACATTGACGCTCGACTTTGTGCTATTTGCATTTGTATTTTATCCGACTTTTTATATGCACGCGACGGACCGACGGACCGACGGACGGACCAGTGCTTGAAGATAAAAAAGACGACAGACTCTGTTTTTAACACTGCTATAAATATGGGTTGTGATATTTTAGAAAAATATTAAAAAAAAAGGAACATTATGAAAATAGTTTTTCTCAAGTCCTAGTCTTTTTTAGTTATTTAAATCAAATTATTATCTATCTATCCGTATTACATATTCTAATTTATTAATATTATAAATGTAAAAGTTTGTTTGTTTGTTACATTATAATGTTTTAACGCTTTAATCAATCACTATGAAATTTGGTATACACGTACTATGGGAAGGGGAAAGGCATGGGTTATTTTTTATCTTGGTCATGTGAAAGAATTCGCGGATAACAAATAATATTAATATTACAAGAATTTACCAGAGGGAGACTTTGTACAAAAGTCGATTGCTTGGGTACCTCTGTCCCATTCGTGTTTCTACCGTGAAGCAGTTGTGTTTGCATGGCTGTGTCTCGGTTGGAAGGGTGGGATATGGCGTGAATTTACAAGGTACAGAGGAATAACACCTGAGTCCTCAGGAATGGCAACGCATAAGGGTTTCATGGGCGAAACAGTATACTCTGTTATGTCCATGGTACTGCTCATGTCTATAGGCGACGGTTACCATTTTCCATCAGGTGGACCGTCAGCTCTAAGCTGCATAAAAAATCCTCTTTTTTCGATCGGAAAGCGGTTAAAAAAATGATAAATTGTTAATAAAAAAAAAACTAAGAAGTTAAAACATAAGAAATCTTACCTTTCCCGCCGCTTTTTCAATATCCACATCATTGTCTTCTGCTGCTTTCTCTTTCTTCTTGCAACAATTAAGCCTGCTCATTGTTCCCCTCTTCTCCGCTGGTGCTTCGACATCTGAATCATCAGTTTCTCCTTTGACACAGCATGAACAGCATTTCTTACATTTCCCAACAAGCCGGGAACATATGTTGGGCTTCTTCATTTCTTTCTCTGCGTCCGGGCTTGGCTCCTTGCTATCATTGGAGGATTGAGTTTTGTCCTCTTTGGATTGTTTTCGGTGGGCTCTGGCTGGTGGTTTGGGTGTTGTGCTCGTGCTTTGTGGGAATCTGATAGTAAAAAAAAAAATAATAATTATATATTTTTTTATCCACAAAAATTGGTACTTATACCACTGTGTTTTTTTTTTGATGGGTGAAAATGGTATGGTAACCCCGCCTGCATTAACGGGATGTGCTGGCGGAGCACCAGTGAAGGGTGATAGATGAGAATGAAAACAGGCCAGTTCATGATCATTTCATCATGATGAATTCATCAGGAATTAACCATGATAGTTTTTTTTTTTTTTACAACACAGGGGGCAAACGAGCATGCGGCTCTCCTGATGGTAAGTGACTACCGCCGCCCATAATCACCCACAACACCTACGGCATTGCAGGTGTGCTGCCGGCCTTTTAAAAAGGAATATTCTCTTTTCTTGAAGGTTATGTTGTCGTATCGGTTCGGAAATACTGCTGCTGGAAGTTGATTCCAAAGAGTGGTTGTGCGTGGGAGAAAGTGCCTTGAAAAACGCACGGTGGAGGACCGCCACTCGTCCAGATGGTTGGGATGAAATTTTAGTTTATGGCGGGTTGTACGATGGTGAAAATCAGCAGCAGGTATCAATCCGAACAATTCTTCAGAGCACTTCCCATGATAAATTCGGTAGAAGATGCACAGAGATGCAACATCTCTACGCAGTTTCAGTGGGTCGAGCCGGACAGTAAGACGCCGATCGTCAACAATTCGAGCTGCCCGACTTTGAATGTGGTCTAATGGAAGGAGTTGGTACTGTGGCGCTCCTGCCCACAGGTGAGAACAGTATTCCATGTGTGGCCTCACTTGAGCTTTATACAGTTTAAGGTGGTTTTCTGGCGTGAAATACCGTCTCACCCTATTGAGCACCCCCAACTTTTTGGAAGCTATCTTAGCTTTTTCCTCCAGATGACCGCAAAATTGGACGTCGCTAGATATATCGACGCCAAGAATCCCCAGACTCGACTTATTATCAAGGGAAGTGCCCTGAAAGTGAGGAGATACGACAAACGGTGTCTTTTTTGCGGTGAACGCGCAGACTTGTGTCTTCTTAGGGTTAAAGTGAACAAGATTGCGTTCACCCCAGATCGAAACTTTATCGAGTGAAGTTTCGATTTCAGACACAAGTCTGTTCCGGAGCTCATCGGTATGTGCCCGCGAGATCTTTGCATGACCGGTGTATAATGCATCTCCTGTACTGTCGTCCGCATAACAATGAATATCACTGATCTGTAACATAGTTTCCAGGGAGAACTGCGAGGAGGTTGACCTGGTTGGTATATTGCTAACAATGAGATTCTCAGTCTCCATTACTAACAATCCCTTTCCCCCCTATGCCACTGTGTTAGGTTGACTGGAAGAAATCTCTTTTATTAACTTATTGTATGTTTTAGTGCAACAATATAGTTACAATATGTATATTTTGACATATTATCCAATTATATTGAATAATACAACGTTTATGGATTAGACTAGTGATCCGACCCGGCTTTACACAGGTAAATAAACCTTTTGAAAGTAATATATAGTCTATTTTACTTGATGGTAATGTGGCTTTCTGTAGGTGAAAGAATTTTTAAAGTCGGTTAAGTAGTTTTTGAGTTTATCCATTAAAAACAAACAATCAAATCTTTCCTCTTTATTATATTAGTATATAGATATTGCATTACAGGAACTCGAGACGTATATCGCTTTTAGCGATAAGGTCACCCATTGTTATCTCACTGTGATCATTGCTTGTAATTGTTTGTATCTATAATAAGTTTACTATTATAATCTTTTGGAGGAAACAATAAAGAGTATCTATCTATCTATATCAAAATGGGTGATGGCTTTATTTTGCCATCAAACTGCTGAGAAAGTCGATTTCAGATTTTATGTACGTTAATGAAATATTATATCTGTAATAAATGAACTGTACTCTATTACTGTAAAAAATTGCATTCCACAAAAAAAGACTTCAATTTTTTTTACAGCACACGGGGCAAACGAGCATGCGGCTCACCTGATGGTAAGTGACTACCGCCGCCCATGATCACCCACAACACAAAAGGCATTGCAGGTGTGCTGCCGGCCTTTTAAAAAGGAATATGCTCTTTTCTTGAAGGTTATGATGTCGTATCGATTCGGAAATACTGCTGCTGGAAGTTGATTCCAAAGAGTGGTTGTGCGTGGGAGAAAGCAAGCCAGATATTTTGATTTAAAAACCGAACCGATAATAAACCTCATAATTCATTTTCTCTCTCAATTTTCGAATTAAGTTTTGAAAAAAAAAAACATTTGTAAATGTAAACTATGTTGCTATGGGAATAAAGCATATTTTCAAAAGAGGGAAATTATCAATTTGGTTGTTTTTTTTTAATGTTTGTCACCTCATAACTCCATCAGTTATGAATCGATTTGGAAAACTCTTCTTTTTATCTGAAAGCATATATTTACAGATCAGTCCTTTGGAAATTTTAACAAAATCGGTACAGTAGGTCAGTTTTGAAATAAAAACAACTGGCTTTGTCACAATTGAAATGGGTTTTTCGTTGTGGTACATAATCTTAAATTATGCAACATACCTTTGACATCACAAACGTATTTAAATTTATTTGTTATGTTGTATTTTGTAAATTAAAATATTACAATACTTCCATTGTTCTAGAGTCATTCACGTAAATGTTGCAAGCACAATGCAAGGCGCATGCTATTTAATATCAACGTGCTTATGGAGTTATTTTTAGTAGCCTTTTTTTTATTAACCGATTGCACGGTGAAGAACTGAAGAAAAAAGTTTCTTTTTTAAATCTATTTTAAAAATAGGAATATGCTCTTTTCTTGAAAGTTTGCCTCTTACGACACCAACGGGAAAGGAAGGGATGTCTTATTCTATGCCGGGACCACACGGCTAATTTAAATCTACTTACTACTCTAGTATTTATAGCGTAAAAAGACCAAGCAGATTCCTACTAATCCTGTTATTATGAGAACGTTTGAATATTTATTTACTCGATCACTCTTAAATTAAACTAGGCTAAAAAGGTTTCAATGAATATTGGTACGCGGGTAGGTTATGCAACTTAGAATTGTAAACAAGCTGACGGCCCACCTGATGGAAAGTGGTAACCGTCGCCTATAGACATGAACAGTATCATGGATATAACAGAGTGTATTGTGTCGCCAATAATACTCTATGTTATTCCTCTGTACTTTGTAATTTCACTGCTATACCTTCCCGTGCCCACCCTTCAAACCGAAATACTGCCATGCAAACATAACTGCTTCACGGTAAAAACTAGAAACACGAATGGGGGAGAGGTACCCAAGCAAACGATATTGGTACAAGGTCACTTTTCATCAGGTGGGTCGTTAGTCACTTTGCCATTCTAAGTTGCATAAAAAATTATTCATACATATACGAGTATGTTCTATGTATGTATCTGTATATATATGTGTAGGAATATATATATATATATATATATATATATATATATATATATATATATATACATATATATATATAATTTTAAGTAATTAAAATTATATATTCATATTTCGTAGCGAAGGATATGGGGTCTTGTCAGAAAACTATTTTTAGCTTCTCCTTTAAATAATTCTATAACAGTTTTTATCATGCATTTTGAACCAAAAACACAGTATTACCTAATTGTTTAAGTAAAGAAAGTACATGTACATAGAGCATGCATTTAATTTTTATTTCAATATCATAATGCAGACAGAATTCTTATTTTGTACGTCTACGGTTTAAAATAGTGTTGTGTGATTTATTTCTTGTAAATAACGTGATTCATTCCAGTGGTCATGCGATCATTCCACTACAAATACGCTCATTACCTCTGTAGCGTGGATTGGCCCGGATATCTGATAGGGAAGGGAAATTAAATACTTTTATAACAATCATTCAATCTAAATTATCAATCATACAATTGATTGATGTCTCGTTAATGGGCATCGGTCACTACTCAAAAGAGGAGAAGTAAATAGAGGATTTTCCAAATAAAGTATGGTTATTTGGAAATCTCTTAAGATTAAAGAAATTTTAAACACTCTGATTTAGTTAAATAATAATATTTCGTTTTATACTTAACTAAAACAACAATTTATCTCGAAATACATATTAATTTACAAATAAATAAATATCAAATATGTTTAGTAGTTGTATTCCAATTTCATCTTTAAGTTCAAGAACCTTTTATAGGTTAAAGTAGACAAAGGAATTTCCTTCTGTAAAGACTAGATTTTAAAATGCGAGTATTAACTCTTTTGCAGGGACAGCAATGCACACGTGACATTCCCTGTCTTGCAAACGTCCCTAAACTTACAGTAATCGTTTACCATCAGACGGGCCTTATGCTTATCCGCCACTTTAGTGGTATAAAAAAAAGCATAAGGCACGATTTGAAATTCATATTATAAATTATTGAAATTTACATACAATATAGGTAAAATGTATTGACAATGGTAAACACAGATTGTTTATAAATTTTACCCGTTATCATTGCCGTACCGCTTTGGCAGTAGTTCATTCGGCAAAATATACACCGTTCGATTATGTATCATTGTAGACTTAATCACTAATCAGTATAACAAATCACTATAAAAATCACAATCTATATTATACTCGATTATACTGTTATCTTGGAAGCACTATCGTTTTGAAAATGGAATTGTGTTATCCATAGACATTTTTTTGTTTTTCAATAAGCTTCGTTGGAGGCAAAGGCACAAATGTATAAGGTTAAAATGTGTGAAATATATTTCTAAATCACTTGTTTTTTATTTCGCGAGATTACATGGTGAGTTTTTTATGGACGGCCGGGGCGACCGGCATCCGAGGCCAGACTGGCCTGAACCAATTTCTTAAGGGTTGTATCGAGTGCCAAGTATTGCGTTACGTGGATATTGTAGCGTGTGCCTTAATGGAGGGTTGTGGATGGAGAGCGTAACTGTATTAATAAGGGCGTTTGTTCCTCACATTTGGCTATTTTAATAAATATTTTTCTTGACTGCATTAGCTTTTTCTAACACTGGTGGACGGTAGTACTTGATTTTTCAAGGTCATTGGAACTCTTTCAAGGTTATAGGAACCATAGTCAAGTAGTTACCATGCTTGGAATTTTTGTAGATTTATTTTTAACTGCTGTTTACCTTCTTAATCTGTTATTACTTACACTCGATTGCGAAAGAAAAGAGGGTTATATTTTTCGAGTGTATGTATATTATATTAAGTCAGTAGTTTCTTTATGAATGATAATGTAATGGTAACCCCGTCTGTCTTAACTGTATACACTGGCGGGGCTCCAGTGACGGATGTCAGTTAGCCCATCGTGATTAATACACCTGAAATTCAGCACGATGGTTTTCAGGGGGGACTGCTGGGAGGTCGACCTATCCCGATATATTGCTAGCTATGGGACTGGTAGTCTGAATTACTAACAATTCCTTCCCCCCCAGTTAGTAGGGGTTGGTATTTTCATTCTAAGAGAAGACATAATTAAGAAAGAAGAACAAATTTATAAGTAAAAGAAATATAAAAAAAATATATACTGGGTACTGTGGTAATAATAGATATCTATATATTATTTTTACCAGAGGGACACTTTGTACAAAAGTCGATTGCTTGGGTACTTCTGTCCCATTCCTCTTTCAACCGTGAAGCAGTTGTGTTTGCATGGCTGTGTTTCGGTTTGAAGGGTGGGATATGACGTGAATTTACAGAGTACAGAGGAATAACACCCGAGTCCTTAGGAATGGCAACGCATGGGGGGTATCATGGGCGAAACAGTATACTCTGTTATGTCCATGGTACTGCTCATGTCTATAGGCGACGGTTACCACTTTCCATCAGGTGGGCCGTCAGCTTGTTTACCATTCTAAGTTGTATAAAAAAATATTATATCTATATATTACCTCTACATATAGATATTATGATATATAGATGTGATAGTGATAGTATAAATAGACTATTTCCTTCCTTATGGGGAAATGAGTACCATTGTTTATAGGTGTGCCGTCACCTTGCTTGCTATTCTATAGAAAAAAAAAACAACCGAAACCATATAGATATCCCATATGGTAGGTGGTAATTTTCTATTTATACAATTTATTAGTGCTCAATTAATTTTAACGATACCTAAACATTCCTGATTAGCTAATAAGCACAGTGTATTAGCATTGAACTATGCTAGGCTGCCTATGGACCTAATTTTATGGTATTTGACCTTGCATATGTAGGCATTAAGTTACTGGGTATTTTATATTATTCTTAATTTCGTGTATAATATAGTATATGTCATATATGTGTAAGTATATGTGTTATATGTATATATATATACATATTCGTTTATATATGTAATTTTAGTATGTATGTATATCAATAATTACTAGTACTGCATTCGAGTATTCTGACACTTCCCTATGGTTGACTGGGAGAGAATGCTTTTAGCATTAAGTCCGCCATGTACACATATTATGTACTAATGAATAAATAAATAAATAAATAATTGAGTTGCAATTGATTTTCAAGTAACTCCAGTAAGTTGAACGTTTTCAATTCGGTTGTTTTTTTATGTTTGTCACCATACCTCCGTCAATTGTAAATCGATTTGGAAATTTTTTTTTTTATCTGAAAGGGTATACTTACAGATTAGTTCCATAGAAATTTTATCAAAATCGATTTAGTAGTTTAACTTTTAGTTCAAAATAACTGGTTTAATCATAACTGACATTAGTTTTTTTTTCATGGCACATAATTTTCAAATTTAAATCGTCTTTATTTAAATAGACTTGTTTACAAGCACTTTATATACTCATTTTTTTTTTATTTTTTGCAGGATTCGGAAACTCAACAGTTACTCTTATAACTCTTTATTGTATACGTTATGATTTATATATTTATTAACTTTAATACATAGTTAATATATATATATATATATATATATATATATATATATATATATATATATATATATATATATATATATTAAAATATAGTTATTTATATATGTTTTGTATGTGATTTATCACAATTTGTTTTCTTTCAAAATATTGATTTAATTTACAATTTTTTTTTCTAATCTATGCACCGTCATTTACTCTCTCTGTTTATCGTAACGGTTGACTGGTAGAGAATGCCATCGGGCATTAAGTCCGTCCTGTAGACATATTCTAATGTGGGCAAAAATATAAATAAATAAATAAATATGTAATTTATCGTTTTAACGTAAAAGTATATAGGGCTGACGGCATAATAATATAACTAAATGTGTCTTATCATGTAGTTATATTCACGTACATAGTTGTAATGTTCTGCT